AAAACCAAACAAACTTTTTAAAGGGGCTAGAGAGATGGCTCAGCGGTTAAGAACACTGGTTGTTCTTGCAGAAGACCTGGGTTTGAATCCCAGCACCCACGTAGCAGCTAACAATTCCAGGGGATCCGACAGCCTCTTCTGTCCTCCACGGGCATTGCACCGACACGGGTGCGCTTACCTACATGCAGGCACTACAACGCATACACATAAAATAAAAATAATAAAATATTTTCTTAGAAAAACTTTTAAAGCAAGAATTCTGTCCTTAACCAGCCTTTTGGTTAAGTGGTCAGGCAGCCCCTGACTGTGATGGTGCTTAGAGAGCTTAGGCAGCTACTCAGAAAACAGGGCTGACCCAGGACTGCTCTGTTCCCACTGCTGTGAGATGGCCACGTGATCTGATCCTGTTCCTTAAAGTGGCCCTTGCCCTTACAGTGCATAAAGTGAAGTGACTGAGTGCGGCAGCAGTGGTCAGTCGTGTAGGGATTACTCCATGGAGGGGTGAGTCCTGAGGGCTGACTTCTATGCAACCTAGAATCGAAAGGCCTATGTTATCTATGCTGGTTTCTTCCAGAGAGATCCTGTAGACAGCCTCTGTCTCCCTAACTCCCTCCTTTCCTCCCTCGTTTCTTAGACAGGGTCTCACTTTGTAGCCCTGGATGGCCTAGAACTCATGATATATCCTCTTGCCTCTGCTTCCCACGTGCTGGGAGTAAAGGCGTGTGCCACCACCCCCAGCCTGACAGTGTACCTTTCTGAAATGTTCCATTGTGTTCCTTGAAGTTTAGCCTGGTCCCTTGGGGTCTTAGGTGTCTCCGTTGAAGCTTTGTTTTTTTCCTTTTTTGTTTTATTTTGAGAAAGAATATCATTGTGGAGCCCAGGCTGGCATCAGATTCACTCTGTAGCCCAGGCTAGCCTTGAATTTGAGGCACTCCTTCTGCCTCAGCTCTCCTAATGCTGAGACTGCAGGAATGAGCCACCACATTTGGCTTTCTAGGCTTTGTTGTTGTTGTTTGTTTCTAGGTGAATGGGAAGTCAAGCTCATCCCCAAGGTGGGTAGTACTGCCAAGAAATGGTGTTTGGGGGGAGTTCTGCAAATCCACATGGAAGAAGAGTGAAGGCATACTTTGTTCCGTTACCGTTTGTGTGTGTGGCTCATTTGCAAGTTTCCCATTCTTTGAAGGCTGATCCCCCTGCAAAAGTTTGGTTTCTGGCTGTGATTTCTTCACATGGAGTTTAGAGTTCACTCCATAGTGTCCTATGGCTATAGTCTTTCTTGGAGGAGATTTGCCTTTTTAGAAAAGCCCTTCTGCATCTTGTCATTGTCACAAAGAAATTCCAGAGAATATGAGCACAGTTCAAGGGGAAAAAAAAGAAACAAGAAGGAGCTTGGAGAAGTCATGAATCTTGTGGCTCTTCAGTGTTCCCATTCCTGCTTTAGTACCTGCCCGCAAACAACAGGGGAGACCTATGTTCTAGTTCGCCTTCAATTGCTGTCACAAAACACTCTGACCAGTAACACCTAGGGAAGGAAAGGGTTTATTCAGCTTACATCTCCCGGGTCACAGTTCATCACTGAGGGAGCCCAAGGTAGGAACTCAGAGCAGGAACCTGGAGGCAGGAGCTGAAGCACAGGCCATGGAGGAACACTGCTTACTGGCTTGCTCCCCTGACCTATGCTCAGCCTGCTTTCTTACTCAATACAGGACCACCTGCCCAAGGGTAACACCATTCACGGTGGGCTGGGCCTGCCCACATCACTCAACTATCAAGAAAATACCCCACAGACAGGGCCACAGGCCACTCCAATGGAGGCAGGTCCCCAGTTGAGGCCCAGGTGTGTCAAGTTGACAACTAAAGCTCTCCAGCACAACCTTATTGCTCCAGAATCTTAACAGTTTAAAACATATATAATGGGGCCGGGCGTGGTGGCGCACGCCTTTGATCCCAGCACTCTGGAGGCAGAGGCAGGCAGATCTCTGTGGGTTCAAGGCCAGCCTGGTCTACATAGTGAGTTCCAGGACAGCTGGGGCTACAGGGAGACCCTGTCTCAAAAAGACCAAAAAAAAAAAAAAAACCCCAAAACAAACAAACAAATACATATATAAATAATGATGACTATATTGGAAAGAGGGCGGAAGAAAAGGAAAGCTGTCTGGAATCTCAGATGCTCATATCCTCCTGGAAGGGGAGGTAGCTGTCTCCTGCTGGGGAGCAGCTGTCACACATGGGAGGAATTTGTTCTCAGCCGCGGGAGGAACCTAAGAACAATTAGCAGTGAAGGTGGAGCTCACCAGAAAACCAGCTCTCACCTCAGCCTGGAGAGGACTGCATAGCAGATGCGTGATTCACACATTAATATTGATTGATTTAAGTGCTTTAAGCTGGAGGTGGTGTAGCAGGTCTGCATCTCAGCACTTGGGAAGATGAGTCAGGAGGATCAAGCGTTCAAAGCTAACCTTGACCACATAGCGAACTCAAGGCCAGCCTTGTCTACATATCAGCCTGTGTACCACATGAAATCTTATCTCAAAAAACAAAAAGCAAAAAGTGCTTTAAAGCAAGAAACTTAAGCTACATATTTTAAGCAGTGGCATATTATGAAGTTAGATTTTATCCATTTCGGGTTAAATTCATGTTGGATTACTAAATTTTATTTTTAATTTTTTAAAAATACTTTTTATTATTTTATGTGTACAAATGTATTGCTTGCATGTATGTGAGTGCACCCGTGTCGTGCAGTGCTGCGGAGGTCAGAAGAGGGCTTTGGATTCCCCTGGAACTGGAGTTAAGGACAGTTCGTAGTCGCCATGTGGGTGTTGGGAATCGAACCCAGGTCCTCTGCAAGAGCAGTCAGTGCTCTTAACTGCTGAGCCATCTCTCCAGCCCCTAAATTTTATTTTTGTGACTTTTTTTGTGTGTATGTGCACATGCCACAACATGTATGTGGAGGTCAGAGAACAAGGTGCAGAAGTCAGTTCCCTCCTTCCGCCTTGTGGGTCCAGGGCTCCAACTGATTGTCAGGCTTGGCAACAGGCACCACTGAACCATCTTGCCCACCTGAATCAATGAATTTTAAAAGCCTGAATGATTTAGGAACTTTAATTGCCAATTTAGGATGAAAATATTTAGCACTTTTCATAAGAATTGATGGAGAATCCTTTCTTTAAAACCTAATACAAGGGGCTGGAGAAATGGCTCAGCAATTAAAAGCACTGGCTGCTCTTGCAGAGGACCTGCCGTTTCCCAGCACCCACATGGCAGCTCACATTGATCCATTAACTCTGGTTCCAGGAGATCTGATGCCCCCTTCTGGCCTCTGAGGGCATTGCAGGATGCAGGTGCACTTACATGCAGGCAAAACACTCATAAAAGTTTTTTTACAATAATTTAAAAAACTTAATACATAGTATATATAGGTGTTGAACAAGGAAAGAAACTAGGATTGTGTAGTTCAGAACCTATATGGGATTTTCAGGGTCTTGGATGCTCCTGCAAATCAAGTTCATTTCCCAAGGTTTTCTCCTCCAGCTTCATTTTCCTTTCCTCCCTTGTCTTTCAGAAGCCCTACAGAGGCCAGTAGCATCTGACTTCGAGCCCCAGGGACTCAGTGAGGCAGCTCGATGGAACTCCAAGGAGAACCTTCTCGCTGGGCCTAGCGAAAATGACCCCAACCTTTTCGTTGCACTGTATGATTTTGTGGCCAGTGGAGACAATACTCTCAGCATCACCAAAGGTAAGGGCTGTGGGTGACTAGTGATGGCTACAGGAGACAGAAGCCAGGGCACTGCGGCTTGGCTGGCCTGCCCTTTGCCTCTGAGAGCAGCTTTACAATCTGGGACTTGGAGATGGCCACAAAGCAGCAGTGCCCTCCCTTAGGAAGGGCTCTGGGGTAATAGTCCTGTGCACACCCCTTTCCTGTGTTCGTCCTGAAGAGGACACCTGGGTCTAAGGCTAGAAACATGGGCTTTGTGGTTCTCTTGGTTATTTTAGCCCCTGCCCCTCAGCAAAAGCATTTTCTCTAAGGTGTTTCCTTACAGTGGGGCAGAGTCCTGAGCAGACAGTAGATCCTGAGGCCGAGGCTGCCTTCTCTCTGCATTCAGGACCAGTGGTCGGCTTTGAGGATAAGCATATATTCCTATGCACTTGTAATTCACGTTTATGTGGATCTGTTAAGGTGAAGTTTCTAGTAATCACACAAAGAAATGTTAGAAGAAATCCAGTCTTCAAAGCTGATATGTCTGTTTGGTTCTTTTCTCTAAGGTGAAAAGCTCCGGGTCTTGGGTTATAATCACAATGGGGAATGGTGTGAAGCCCAGACCAAAAACGGCCAGGGATGGGTCCCAAGCAACTACATCACCCCTGTCAACAGCCTGGAGAAGCACTCCTGGTACCATGGGCCTGTGTCCCGGAACGCCGCCGAATATCTGCTGAGCAGCGGGATCAATGGCAGCTTCTTGGTGCGAGAGAGTGAGAGCAGTCCTGGACAGAGGTCCATCTCACTAAGATATGAAGGGAGGGTGTACCACTACAGGATCAACACTGCTTCTGATGGCAAGGTAGGCACCACCCAGACTTGGGACCCAAGGGGAGCTGGTGAGCTGAGATGGCACCGGGGTGAAATAGAGGGAGCCAAAGGCTCGGTCTGAGCACCTTGGCTCATGCCTGTAATCCCAGCACTTGGGAGGCAGAAAGATCAGGAGTTCAAAGCCCTCCTCATCTACATAGGCTACATGAGACCCTGTCTCAAATAAACAAACCAAAGGTGTTTCTGGACTCCTTCAAGTAAACAGCAGGAATCATTCTATTAGCTTCATGAAAGATGTCAGTCACCTAATATTACAAGTCCTTGGGCTTGGTATGTATGAGTCTCTAAAAATAACAGGCATATCCGTTGAGTTTCAGACACAAACTCTTAATTAAAAGACTCTTCCTTTTTGTAAAATTCTCATAATGATCGTAATTGATCTTCAGTGAGGAAAAAATTCAAACCACTAGTAGGCACTATAAAGCAACAGGCCACTTGAACAACACCTCCTAAGTCACACACAGTGCTCTTCCTATGGATGAAGTATGTGGGTGTACACACATGTATATATGCATGCACAAGTTTTAAACAAAAGTGGGATCACATTATACCAGTCGATTTCCAAAGCCACATGGTAGTTCTGTAAAGGAGTTGGCATATATCATCTTGTGGTCTTTGCACAAACTCTTCCTTAAGAGACCATGAAGAGGGGACTGGAGTGATGGCTCAGCAGTTAAAAACACTGGTGGTTCTTGCAGAAGACCTGGGTTCAAATCCCAACACCCACATGGCAGCTAACAACTGTCCTAACTCCAGTTCCATGGGATCCAACAGCCTCTTCTGTCCTCCGCGGGCATTGCACGACACGGGTGCACTTACCTACACGCAGGCAATACACACATACACGTAAAATAAAAATAATAAATATTTTTTTAAAAAGACCATGAAGAGGATGCTTATGGAGGTTCTGATCTGTGCTGGAGCATCTTGCAGTCCATCTCCTTTATATCCCACTCCTACCCTGGACAGGAATTGATGTAATCTGCAGGTTTTCATTGATAAAGGGAGGCTTAGAGGAATGAAGTTTCTTGTCAAGATTTTCACGTAGGGAGTAATTGGGGAGCCAGGAACACGCCTCACCCCACTGCGCCAGGCTGTGTTAAGGGGCAAAATTGATATATCACAGATGGATGTGCATCTAATATTTTTTTAGTGCTGGTGACCTAGCTCAGTGGTATAGCACTTGCCTGGCATGCATTAACTGCGGGTCCCATGCCCAGAACTGCAATTAATGTAGATATATATTATATGCATATATTGCTTGGGTTTTTTTTTGTTTTTTTGTGTTTGAGACAGGATCTTGCTGTGTAGCACTGTCTGGCCTTGAAATTCACTGTGTAGCCCAAGTTGTCCTTATGCGTGAAATACTCCTGCCTCTGCCTCCTGAGTGTTGGGATTGCAAGTGTGTGTCTCCACACCCAACCTCATTTTTAACATTTATATGTAGTATGTGCACATGGTTTCAAAAAACATGACAAATGAATTACAGTGAAGAGTGATTCTCCTAGCTCAGTTCTCCTACGTCAGCGTCACTAAGCCTGCATTACAGCTATACCTGTGTAGACAGCCTGACTCGGCTTCATAGTTGTAAGAGTGGGCCCGGACTCAGAAGCACCTGTTCCCCCAGATATCTCCGGAAACTGTGCTGTTGAGAACAGTTTTTCAGAACTGGTTCTCCAGCTTCAACTGGGGAACTGCATCTTATCAGACAGTCTTGCCCTTCATCCCTAGGCCTAAAACATCTCATACACACAATGTCGGCTTTCTTCTCAGTCCTACTGTTTTCAGTGAAGATGCCTTGCCTTCCAGTGCTTTGATGTGTTGATTCTGAAGCACACAACATTCACTTATGATCTTGAGTGAAGCAGCCAGTTGAGGTTCAGAGGATCCAGGTCAGGTCACAGGAACACATGGTTCTGTAACTTTGGTTGCAAAGACTAAAAGTCATTAGTCCAGATTCTTTTCATTTTGTAAGTTGTTACTGCATCCTGCTCACTGTTGCCAGTGCCGTTCAGACTTACCTGCTCATCTCTAAGAAGAGGCAGAGATGACACCTCCACACTGATGCACCTTGCCTTTCCCCACATAACCAGGTGTTTTGGTGAGAACTGCACCGTAGCACACGTGGAGCTGCCTGTTTCAGTGTCTTGTGATGATTGGCTTAATTCCACCTCCTGTAATTCTAGCACTTGGGAAGCTGAGACAAGAAGATTGCCTCGAGTTTGTAGCCTGGGCTACATAATGAGTTCTAGGTCGGCCTGGGCTACAGTGTGACTATCAAAAAACCAAAAATAACTAAATTAAATGTCTGATCATAATCCACTGTGTTTGTTGCTGCCCATTAGTGGCTCGTGACCGGTAGTTTAAAATGTGAATGCTGTGTGCAGTGTAAGCATGTGCAAGATAAGCAGCTGGAACTAAAGCAGAGGTTATACACCTCTTAAAAGTAGTGTAGATTTTGCCAGATCACCCCCCTTAGCACTTATACCAATTAGTTCTCACAAAGAACATGTGAAAGTGCCTGTTTCCCTTCATATGTACAGTATCCCATTAGACCTGTAAGCCGCCTTTACCATCTGGCAAAAGTGATCTTTTCAGATTCAGTACCTGGGGGTCATATTCACCAAGACAGTGAATCCTTGTGCCAGTTTTAAAATGTGCCCCTTTCCTGCTTAGAGAAGTTAGCCAAATTTTTATATGTGTGTAAGCCCATGTGTATAGACATATCTCTCAATTCCAATACCAGACTGAGTCAAGACTTTATTCTGTATGCTGATATCTGGTGAGTGGGCCCCCTTGTGATCTTTTCAGTGTTTTCCTGGCGGCTGGCTCACACATTTATTTGTACTGTAGGAGCATACATATGCCTCCTTTTTTGGGGGGGAGGGGCGGGGAGGACGCTACATAGCCCTGACTTGCCTGGAAGTCACCATGTAGACCAGGCTGGCCTTGAACTCCCAGAGTGCTGAGAGTAAAGGTGTGTGCCACCACGCCCAGCCCATGTGCCTGTCTTAATTTGCTTTCCTCACATGTCCTGATTAAAGTGTTCTTGCCTGTCTCTGGCAGTATCTTTAGTGCTGGCATCATGGTTTATGTGTGCACAGTCTGTTATATGTTTGAGCTACTTTTCTCATTGCTGTGACCTAATGCCTGGGGCAATTTAAGGGAGGAAAAGTTTTTCCTGGGTCATAGTTGGGGGCATAGGATACTGTTCATCATGGTGGGGCAGATGGAGCAGCTGGAGAATGCTGCTTGTTCACATCTCAGAAGATCTGGAAGCTGAGTGGGGAATGTAGTTGACTTTTTCCTTCCCCTTTACTTAGTTAGCCTGGGACCCCAGGTTGTGGGATGTGCTGCCCAGATTCGTGGTGGGTCTTCTCCACTCAGTTAATCCTCTCTGGAAGCTTCCTCACAGGAACCTGTGCCGCAGGTGTTTCTTAATTCAGTCTGGCTGCCTCTGCTGGGCTGTGGGCAGAGCTGGATCTTTCCCTGCTGTAAGATGGACTCCAGGGTGGTGGCCCTTCGGGAGAGCTTTCAGGTTGCAAAGTGCCTTTTCACTGACTCCCAGACCCCTGGGGGTGGACTTCTGGAGCTGACAATTTGCTCCAATCTGTTCTTTGTTTGAAGCAAGTTGGGCAGCACCAGGGTCATCCTTGGAGTCTACTCTGACAAGATAACAGTATCATTCCCCTAGAGTTGTTTAATCAGCAGCCCTGGAACACATGCAGGGAGGTGTGATCTAGTTTGACAACTCATGAGCTTGAGGTTAGTCTAAAGTACCTTTCAGAAGGGCACAGAGACAGATTCATCTGACGAAGAAGCTAGCCCTTGTCTAAAGGCTGGCATGTGCTACTTATGTTCCTTCTGCCCTGAGGCATACAGGTAACTCCAGTGATCAGCTCTTCAGACAGCTTGCCTTCTGCCCCTCCCTGGAAGAGAGTCCATCAGCTCCTCCATCAGCTGTTCATGCACCTGAGGACTTGTTGGCCGTTGGTGAGGCTCCTTTCTGTAAGGGCCACACTCAGGGAAGCTTCATTGGGTGGGATCACTCATGTCCCAGGAGTCCCTGACAGGCATCAGGATGGGGAGGTACCACAGCTCTGGGTGGGTGAAGAATGCTTCCCACATAGCAGAACTTTGATGCAATCCTCTTTGGATTACTAAGGGGAAAGTTCAAGATTACTAGGAGGAGCATCCTGGGGCTGAAAAACCTTAAATCTTATTTTCAAATCAGCTAATCTTCAGAAGACAGCTGAATATAGAAAACTCTTCTATAGGGCCCAAAAGACCTCTCTGCCTCCACCCTCCTGGCTCTTGTTTACCTCTCCCCTTGTGTCTGAGCTTTTCTGCAGTGGTTATGGCCAGCCACCCTCTATCCACATAGCAGACCCAAGTCCGATGTCTCTGCCCCCACTGCCCTTCCTTCTTACTCCTGCAAGCAGCACTGTGTAGTCCCACGGTTCCCAAGAACCAGGACAGCTTTCCTCTTGAAGAGTCCCCATGATCTGAAGTGACATGAGGGTTGACAGGAACAGAACCCGGCTCAGCTGGGTTAGGGGTGGCAGGGAAGGGCTGGCTACAGAGCCTCTGGAACATCTGGGATTTGCCCTCCCTGGGAGTGGCACAGTGGGGGCCAGCAGCCTGGGGAAGCCTGCTGATTTCCTTTGAGAGGAGCAGCAGCCTGGGGACTGCTAGAGAACCACTTCCTGGACCAGCAAGAACTCAGTTCTGAGGCAGGCAGAAGTGGCACAGGCCTGTGGGCATAGCATCAGGGAAAGCCAGTCTGGAAGTTTCTTTAAGGAGCCTTTTCTTCTGGGTTCATGCATAATCAGGAAGAGGCAGAGCCCTGGGTGAGCCAGAGTTTATGGAATGGGGTGCACAACACAGAATGGACTGCTCACACAGCCGACTTCACTTTCTTCTCTGAACATGCCACAAGTTCCTGATGGTCACCCTGAGTGATCATTAACAAAATGCTGTTCAGAACTAGAACTGGTCAAAAGGAAGCCACCAGCACAGACTGAGCGTACTGCTGAAGAGCGATCCAGTGACCCGAGCAGCTACATTGCCCTCGAGGGGGCTGGCTTCAATATTGGTATTGAGTGAGTCTGTAACTTTTAGGTTGAAAAATGAACTCAGTCATGTCTTTCCAAAGAGTGGACAGAGCTTGGGAGCTGCTCTCCTAACTCCCAACACCCATGAACTACATGAGGTAGGCTTGTGTTTGTCACCACCGGCACTGAGGAGAGAGCTGCAGGCAGCATCATGTGGATACCAAGCTAATTGCAGGTCACTGCGGCGCCACTGCACACCCTGCATCTGTTTGTGGGTTCCAGCCTAACTCAGTGTGGCCTCAGAGCAGGTTACTCAGGGGCTCTGGTGTCCTGAGTGTGAAACTGGGTCCTCTTCATCCACTCAGAGGAGAAAGCTCTCCAGAATGAGGAGTCTTTCTGGACAAGCCTTAGTCCTGAAATGATATTGTAATGGACTTGCTAAGAAAAGATTGTAGATCGGGAGCTAGAGAGATGGGTTAGGGATTAAGAGCCCTTTGCTGTTCTTCCAGAGGACCCAGGTTAGCTTCCCAGAGCCTAGATCACGTAGTTTACAATCACCTGTGACTCCAGATCTAGGGGATCTGACCCCCCTCTTCTGGCCTCTGTAGGTATTACATACATGCGCACGCATACATCCAGGCACTCACACATACTCATAAAATAAATAAATCTTTTGTAGAAAAGGATTGTATATCCAAAGTTGACCTGCCTAAGTTGTAGGAATTTATTACCATCGCCCCAGGCAGGAGAGGGTTGGGGGAAAGAAACAAACAAACAAACAAACAAACACACACACACACACGTACGTACGTACGTACGTTCTTACACACACACACACACACACACACACACACACACACACAAACACACGTACGTACGTACGTACGTACGTACGTTCCGGGGGTGGTTATTGGATCCTCTTTATGGCTCCACATGCATTTCATTACCATAATGAACGAAGCAAATTGATAAAGAAGTTTTATTTAGCTCTCAGTGTGGGAAGCCGAAAGGCAGCATGGCACAGACACTGGTGAAGGCCCCTGACCAACAGCAACAACGGAATGGTGGGGTGCTCAGCTGAGTGCCTTGTATGCCTCGGGCTGCTTCCCTTCTCTTTTTCAGAGTATAAGATGTTGGAGCTGCAGTCACAGCCTGACTTGCTCCTTTTCTGCTTGTTTCCCAAGTAGCACTGTTTCCAATCTGTGCCTCCCCTTGCCTCTGCCACTGGGGTAAGCCTTCTGAACTGTTTGGGATCTTAAGTGTACCTCTCACCACCAGCCGGGACACCAAGTTAGTCACGTGGCAGCAGCTCAGACGTTCTGTGTGGATTGTGACGTGGCACTGGTTTGGTAAGGAAGCAGTCCCTCGGCACAGCAGACAGGGGAGGAGAGGGGTGCTGACATCGCCCACAGTGGTGCTCGCTGCCAGCGTCCCCTCCGCCGTCGTCACAGAGCTCTGCGGCGGTGCCCTGGCAAGCCCTCACTGCTGTGGTTCTCTCTCACATAAGGCCCGAAAGCACTCTGCCTTGCAGTCCTCCTACTGCCTACCGTGGAAAAGGCCCTGCAGGATGCTGACAGGGACAGCCTCACCAGGCATGCTGCCAGGATTGCAGGTCACGATGTCTGGTGCCTCCTACCCAGCCCCAAGCGAGTAGGTGGTGATGTGAAGGAGGCTCACACTTTATCAGTTTTCCCCTTATGATCACTGTTCCTCCCTTACACTCATAAATTAAATTGTTTTCTTTTCAGTCAGCAAGTTCTGAAGTTCTGCTGCTCTTTAGTCAACAAGCAGTTACTGACTCCCAGTTTTGTGCTGGTTTATCATTGGGATTTTGGGATAGGGGAGATGGCCCAGGGCTCTGCTCTCAGGGAGCTTATGTTCAGTTAGGCGGGGACAGATGTTAACCAAGCAAACAGGAAGCTGTCAGCTGTGGTAGGTACAATACAGAAAAGTCAGGCAGGTGACACTGTCACTGCCCTGGGTGGCGACTTCACATCGGGTGGCTGGGGTGAGAGGGCAGGCCGGGCAGGTTCCAGGCAGAGGCAGGTACACTGGGGCATCTTCCTGAACGTCTGCAGTAGTGTTGCTGAGAAAGCAAAGTGATGCTAAACATGGCGGGGCACGCAGAGCCCTTCTCTGAGGATTTACTGCACCATGGTCGTGCACGGGCAGGCTGGCCAATTGGGAGGTTGGAGGCAGCACCTGCTCTGTGAGTGAGGGTTGTTCTCTGTCCTCCTCAGCTCTACGTCTCCTCGGAGAGCCGCTTCAACACCCTGGCTGAGTTGGTTCACCATCATTCTACGGTGGCCGATGGGCTCATCACCACTCTTCACTACCCAGCCCCCAAGCGCAACAAGCCCACCGTCTACGGTGTGTCCCCCAACTATGACAAGTGGGAGATGGAGCGCACAGACATCACCATGAAGCACAAGTTGGGCGGAGGCCAGTACGGGGAGGTGTACGAGGGCGTGTGGAAGAAGTACAGTCTGACCGTGGCCGTGAAAACCTTGAAGGTGAGCCTTGGCCTCGTGGAAGGTGGGTGGGTGTCTCTTGGGGTTCAGCAGCACCCAGGTCTCCCTGACCTTACATCTGTGTCTTTGTACGGCGAGTCATCTTCAGCCTGTGGCTCTGCAGATGGAAGCGCCGACCAGTGCTGAGGTCAGGTGAAAGGCTGTCACTGCAGGTTACTTGCTCTGTGGCATGTCCTATCAATGGTTTTGTTTCTGGTTCAGTGGGCTGGAGAATTAAGAAAAGTGCAGAGAAGTTGGTCGGAAAGGAGATGAGACCTTTGTGGACTTCTGTGGGCTGATAAAACAGGCACGTGCGTGTCCATAGGCTTCTGCAGATAGCTGGACGTGTCCCTGGAACAGTTCCAGGAAGCACTTGTCACCAGATCACTGCCTTCCTGCAGTCCTGTGCCACACGCCCTCTTCATTGATGACCCGTGTGGCATTTCCAGGTGGTTGGTTTTCTTCTGGAAGTCTTGTGCACTCTGTTAGGACACCATGGGAAGTTGCATTTTCATTCCTCTCTCTTCCCTGCATGATCCAAGCTTTTCCTGTGACTAGAGTGTCCCCTAGTGTTGACCTGCATTGTTCGCTTCCATTTGTTTTAGACAGACTGATGGCATCAGCCTGTGTATAGCAGTCAAGAAAGGGGCCTGAGCCTTCTACTGCTGGGAACACAGGCCCAAGTGTGTGCTTGTGTCTCAGCTCAGCCAGGCAACGTGTGTGACTTTCCCGACGCCTCCTCTTAAACGCACAGTAAAATGAAAGTTAGAATTGTTGGCTGGCATAAAGTAACTTTAGAGCAAAGTGCATTCCTTTAATTCTAGAAAGAAATGTAACTTCCTCATAATCATATTTAATGTCTTCTTCCGTTGGCCCTTGTGACAAGACCAGCACTTGGGAGGTGGGGGAGAATGGTATGGTTTGGATTATCTGGAGTACTCCTGGACATGTTCCAAATTCAACTTTTTAAAATTTAATAAATATTTGTAGAGTTCCTCTCATCTGTTTGGCAGGCCCTGGGACTCAGCCCTGGGTAGTCCAGGTCAGAAAAGAAATTGACAAAATATCAATGATGGCCGTGCAGCCAGCCAGACCAGTGTCTGGAGCGCAGGCTCAGCTGCACAGGGAGGAGTAGCGATTGCTGCACTGGGTAGGAGCAAGTGGGCCCGGGCCATAAGGAAGGGACAGCAGGGCAGGAGAGACAGCACTGGGATCATTGAGGGATAGTAAGTCACAATTGCCCTGGGCCCCAGCTAAGGAGGGTGGGATCACTGAGGGCTGGACGCACAAGGCGAACCCGATACCGTCAGTTTTCACAGATATTGCAGGAGGAGAGAGCTGATGCTCAGAGGCCTGTATAGCAGCCACAAATGTTGCTTACTTGGAGGGCCAGGTATCACTGAGTGCTATTCACAAACACAAGAAAGAAGGAAACCACAGTACCCGAGATTCAGCAGTGGGCACCTGGGAGTTGTCACCCTATGTGGCTCAAGTGTATGAGTGTATTGCCTGCATGTGTGTAAGTGCACCCATGTCGTGCAGTGCCCTCGGAGGTCAGAAGAGGCTGTTGGGTCCCCTGGAACTAGAGTTACAGATGGTTGTTAGCCACCATGTGGGTGCTGGGAATCAAACCTGGGTTCCCTGCAAGAGTAGCCAGTGCTCTTAACTGCTGAGCCATCCCTCCAGCCCCTATTGTTTGGAGTTTTATCTCCTCTGTCAAAGTTGAGAACTTCGGGTTCTAAATTACACTAAAGGCCAGCATTTACTGAGCTCTTACTGCAGAGTTCCTCATGTGCGTGCACGTGCACACACACACACACACATACACATGTATTTCCATACATCCACAGGCACATATATGAACATAAGTGAACACAAAGTTCTATGTATATATCCACACATACATATACTCTACATCCAGCATCTCCTTAACCTCACAATTTGAAGAGAGGGGCGCTAAAAATGCTAATGGCAATCCACTTTAAGGCTGAGAAGGCTGAGGCAGAGAGGCTAACTGAGCCAGGATTCAAATCCAGGCACCCACCTCCAAGGCCCAGCTTTTTTTTTTTTTTTAATATGTATGCTTGTATTGCCTGAATGTAGGTAAGTGCACCCATGTCGTGCAATGCCCTCCGAGGTCAGATGAGGCTGTCGGATCCCCTGGGACTAGAGTTACAGTTGTTAGCTGCCATGTGGGTGCTGGGATTTGAACCCAGGTCTTCTGCAAGAACATCCAATGCTCTTAACTGATGAGCCATCTCTCCAGCCCCAAGGCCCAGCTTTTGTATTGTTGCTTGTTATCTCCCTCTTTTAGTAGTAAATTTAGGGTCTTATTCCTCAAATACCATGACAAATAAACAGAAATCTCAATTATGCTTTCTTAGAAAACCTTTCCCATCTTCCATGGACTTCCCTCTGATCCACCACTCAGCCAGAGATAATAATGGTAACAGATGCCTGCTGACCAGGCACTGCAGTAGTCTCTCTGTGCACAGGGCAAACGGGCGATCCTCCTTGTCTTGCAGACAAGAAAGCAAGTTCAGAGGCTGGGGATGTGGCTCAGCTCCGTAGAGAGCTTGCCTAGTATGCACAAAGCTGGGGTTCAATCCTCAGCCCTGCATGGTGGCACATACCTCTAATCTCAGCAATTGAGAGGTGGAGGCAGGAAGATCAGGAGCTTGAGGTCAGCACATGAGACCCTGCCTCAGAAAAAGGAAGGGAGAGAGGGGAGGGGATAGAAGAGAAAGGAAGGGTCAGTGCGTGGCTGGTCACAGGGCCGCAGAGCTAGGTCAGCGTGACTGACACCCTCCCTCTTAGCCACTCCGTTGGATCCTAAAGGTTCCAGTACCTCTAAAGGGGGCCAGACCAATCAGTCCCTGTGAAGAGAGAGTTGGCCCGCCTCCTCCCTCACAGACGCGAAGATTAGGGGAATTCAGCTTTTCTCAGAAGGCACTTCCTCAGCCCAAACTCAGCAGTTTTATTTTACTGTGTGAATGGAAAATTGTCTTCAGAAGGGTGATGAAAGTTTTAAAATATGAGTTAGAGGAAGATCACTGGTTAGAATAAGGGACTTCTTTTATGTAGTTAAAACCTCTGTTGCTGATAGCAATTTAAATGATAAACTAGGTCTGACTCCAGCAGGGGGAGACAAACCCACACTAATTTTTCTGAAGGGAAAAGGGCACACCTCCGATGTGTGCTGTGTGTGAGCTGGGGAGGGGACAGGCAGAAGACAGACAAGGTGTTTTGACAGTGCTCTTCCTACTGTATATGCATGCCTCGGGAGTTTTATGACACAGGCCTTTTAGAAAAGGGTCAGTGGCTCTACAAGGGAACAGGACTTCTAAGATGACTTCTCTGCATGGTTTACTGTGTGACATGGTGTGTCAGAAAAGAAAATGCTTGATGTCTAGAAAACTTCACTGCAGAGTTACTTTGTGACATCCGATAGTGCAGTGCAACGTTGGTTCTCCGGATCCTAGCAGGCATCTCTAGCCTTTGACATTAGCGTGTCACCAGATAGCAGAGCGCTGTACGCCTGAGCCAGATGGGCTGCTGAGCAGGCCAGGGAGCAGAGGAAACTTGAGTCCAGCAGCCAGTGGGTGGCACGGGGACAGCTCTCCCCTGCACAGCATGGGAAGCAACAGCCAGCATGCTGAGGTGACATTAGAGCAGCTGTCATTGTTAAAGAGCAGTAGATTGCCTCTCCGCTTAGTCTCTCAGAGCTTTGTGTTTGGTGATAGTGTTATGGCTGACACGCCATCATTGATCATGCTTCACCCGTAAACATGGCTGACCAGAACAAGAAAGCACTGAGCAAAGGTTGGCCTGGCCTCTGGAGTGTCCCCTTCTATCAGGGGACGAACTGGAACAGCCACAGCGCCACACACAAGGGCACTTGGGCTCTTGTTTCCCAGTCAGGAACAGTATACACCACTGCAATGTAACATAAGGCCTGGTAGAGCTTTCTGCACAAGGAACCTGATTTTCAAGAAGTTTCCTCCTCACACACTCACACATATATGTACACTCACACATAACTCTGCAGAAGCTGCAGGTGACCTTCCTTCCTCGCCTCCAGTGCCGGGTTCTAGCATCTGAGGAGACCCTGCCACTCACCACCACTGGTGCCTGGTTATGATGGTCGCTTCAGCGGACAGTGACTGAAGTTACAAGGAGGCTGAGTGGTGTGGCCATAGCTCTTCTGACCCAGACTGGAAATGTGTTGGAAAGAGTGTCCTGTTTGTGCTGGCAGTCTGCCAGTCTTTCCCTCCTCGTTGGCATTTAGACACTGGCCTTGTACAGTGTGACCTACACGACAGTGCCTGTGAGTCTGTTGTCAGGGAGCTGCTGGTGAGGATTGTTTTAGAGCCTGGGTGATTGACTCCCCCAGGCTGTGGTGATTGCCTCATTAGCTGCTCTTGCCACCGCATAGCTGAGAGCTCAGTGTCCGCTCTGCTGCAGGCTGAGGCTCTCATGGGCGATGCAGGCTGTAAGTCGGGTGCATTTCAGAGTCTGCACACTTGTTTTTTTAATGTTAAGTGTGTGTGAGCCTGTTGGAAAACAGACAGTACTTGTGGAAGTCTGCTTGGTCTTTGTGGTGTTTGCCTCTAAAGTCTCTCCAAGACCCCACAAATCCCAAAAGGTGTGGATAGTCTGCCTAGCAGCCACCAGAAACAAATCACTGAGCTGTCAAGCCAGCTCTGACCCACTGCCCTGTGCATCGTCAGGTATGTTTGCATCTTTGTGGCAGAATACCTGACAGAAATAACTTAAGGGAGAAATGATTTCAGAGAGTTTCAGACCATCATGGTGAAAAGACATGGCAGAGTGGGTTATCTGTGGTGACAGGAGTATGTGTGGCGGAGCTGGTCACATGACTGTGAACCAGGAAGTGGAGAGCTAGTCCAGAACCAGGGACTGGGTATGACCTTTAAAGGCCCACTCCTAGTGACTGACTTCTGCCAGCCAGGCTCTACCTCCTGAAGGTTCCACAGCCTTCTAAAATTGCTCTGCCAGTTGGGGAACAAGTGTTCAAAACATGAGCCTGTGAGGGACAGTCCAGACTCAGTCACAGCGCCCTGGGTAAGAACTCCAAAGCTCAACTCCGAAGGAGAGTATATCACCAGAATGAGACTTGCCGGTCGTGGACTCTCCGTGAAAGATGGCTCAGGTGCCACTGCCATTTATATTTGCCCTGGAAGCAGTGCCCTCCCTCTCAGTGGATTCCTCGTGGGAGGAATCTCATGGGTCTGAACTTCCCTTCTGTAGGAGGACACCATGGAGGTCGAGGAGTTCCTAAAGGAGGCTGCTGTGATGAAGGAGATCAAGCATCCTAACCTGGTGCAGCTTCTAGGTAAGCCAGCAGGCGCGGAGTTGTGAACAGCCTGCTCTGGAGGTTCTGCTCCGACCTGTGTTGAGTGAGGGTTGCTGCCAGTGAAGGAGGCCTGTGGGGGTTGGGGTGGGGGGTGTTGAGAGTGTGTTGAGAAAGAAACCGTTTCTTCCTTAAACTATTTGAATGCTGTCAAGTATAAATCTCAAATTGGCTTCAGAAACTTAGGAATATTCCAGAGCTTTCTCACTGTCCTGTGAACAGACATAACCACTCATAGGTAAACGGGCAGTGGCCATTTGATGTGGAGTCTGACTTTTTGAACTCAGTGGTAGCCTCTGCCTGTGTGAGTTCAGGTTCATGGACATGGGGAAGGGAAAGAGCATGGTTCCACGCTGTTATTGCATGTGGGCGTGCACGTGCTGCCTGTGCATGTGGAGGTCAGGGGCGACTCTGTGGAGTTGATTCTCTCCTTCCCCCTTTATCTGGGCTCTGGAGATTGAATTCAGGCCATTAGGCCTTGTACAGCAAGCGCTTTTGCCCACTAAGCTGTCTCGGCAGCCGTGGGGCCTTTGTCTTTGGTGCCAGACCTTTCTAGGGCTCGTTCCCCTGGGAGCAGAGCCACATTCTGAAGCCCTCCATGTCCTGTTGTCAGGGGTATGTACCCGGGAGCCCCCGTTCTACATCATCACCGAGTTCATGACCTATGGGAACTTGTTGGACTACCTGAGAGAGTGCAACCGGCAGGAGGTGAGCGCCGTGGTGCTTCTGTACATGGCAACTCAGATCTCATCCGCCATGGAGTACCTGGAGAAGAAAAACTTCATCCACAGGTAGGGCTGGCAGAGCGGGGCCAGACAGCCGTCAAAACCCAGCTGTGAGGTCTTGGGGCCCTGCTCTCAGCACGACTGCTGGCACCCCAGCCCTGGAAACAAAGGCATGTGCTAGGGGCCTGACTCAAGTGCTGCTTGCAACAGGCAGGACTGAGCACTCATCCGGGCTGCTAATCCCAGGGAAAGAAGCCTTTCACTTTGGAACCATTTTGGACTCAGTGGAATGTTAAATGAAGTTCATAAAAGGCGTTCTTCCTAATAATCACAGCTCCCTCTAAAACAGTGCTCAGTGTTCCTCAGAGGCTGGCATCACCAGTGACAACCTCTGCCTTGGGGCAGCGGGCCCCCAGGTTCAGATTGATGGTGAAAGCCAGGGCCTGTGTTTGGTTTCCATGTGTGTAGTTCGTCCTCCTCTGTGTTCCATTGTCCACTTGCTGTCCCCGGGTTCAGGATGTTTCCACGCTTGTGGAGTTGCATACATGCAGGCCAAAATTACGCATCATTGCTGCTTTAAAACCTGGAGTGTTTGACCTTCAGGCATGCCACAATTATCTGGGTCTTTGCGTGCTTTGCTGGTCGAAGTGGCTTCCTAGCAAAGTGACGGCCTGTGTAGGAGGGAGCCTGATGGGCTTGGCCATTAGAATCCTTCATGCAAGATGTCCTCCACACCCCTGTGATGACCTTTCCTACCCAATTAACTCAAGTGTGAAAACTCGACATGAGATTTCATAGCCAGGAATAAGTGTGCGTGTGAAGTGCTGCCAGCTCCTCAGAAGACAGATTTCTCCGCTCCATGAGAGCCCAGTCCAAACACTCCCGTCTCAGCAAAGCGAACCCTCTGATGCTGCAAATTGAGATTTCCTGACTACTGACTTGCTTTGCATGACTAGCTCTGTTCCCCCTCCATCCGTACACACTTAAAATGCCTGACCAGAAATCCTATTAGCACAACTCTTGTGTTTAGTTTCTCCCTCTTTGCTGCTGACCGAGCTACGTCACGCAGCCGTTGGCCTAAGCTGCCGCATCTTCTCATTGCTCGGTTCTTGTTTGCCTGTGATTTCATGGTTAACGTCCATGAACCAAAGATTAGCCCCCTTCGCTAACAAAGTCTGGAGGTGAGAGGAAGCAGATTAGACGGGAGTTTTTCAGATAGCTCTGAGCAGGCATCAGGAAGCAAGAGGGAAGCAGAGAGCACAGTCTGGCTAAGGAACACATGGACTCCCATTGTCCTGCCAAGTCCGAATGAGACAGGTGGAGACCGCTCGTGTCTGTCTCTTGCAGCTGAGTGTCTCCCGTACCTGGCGTGGGGTAATAGATACACAAGCATGTCGGAAACACTTGCTATTCTCTGGGCGTCACAGGAAGCACTTACATTACTAATCCGTTATCACATATAGCAGCTCAAGGTAGGCCTATTACCATAGCTGAGTGCTCAGTGTTCCTCAGAGGCTGGCATCACCAGTGACAACCTCTGCCTGGGGGCAGCGGGCCCCCAGGTTCAGATTGATGGTGAAACTTACTCCAGGTCACAGGGCAGAGACCTGTGCCCAGTGCCACCCTGTCCAGTGCCACTCTGTCTCTGTTCATCTTGCTGCTCTGTTCATCTCCTGACTTGTGTTTGCCAATGGACTGTTGCTCACTAGTGGGGGCGTGTGATGCTTCCAGGGACCAGGTTTGATTTTCTCAGTGTCGGTGTCGTGCCTTTAGTCAGTGCTGGGGAAAGCTGGGAACCGGGGCGGGGGGGCGTCAGCCGGGTTGCTCATGGACCTTTTCCCTTTTCAGAGATCTTGCTGCCCGGAACTGCCTGGTTGGGGAAAATCACTTGGTGAAGGTGGCTGATTTTGGCTTGAGCAGGTTGATGACAGGGGACACCTACACAGCCCATGCTGGAGCCAAGTTCCCCATCAAGTGGACCGCACCTGAGAGCCTGGCCTATAACAAGTTCTCCATCAAGTCGGATGTCTGGGGTAAGACTGTGCCCTGGGCAGGAGAAGGGGTGCACCTTCCTCCTCTCCTGGCCTCACTGCCGCCGCCACACTCTTCCATTCCCCTCCTTCATTGCTTAATTCTCTTCCTATTTGTTTCATTCCCATTTAAAACCCCATTTCCTCTTTTCTTTTAAATTTAAGTAAAAATGGTCTTTTTCCTCCTGAATGACCCAGAATAACTGGCTCGTTCTGAGCCACTACCTTTCCTTCCCATCTTCTGCACATTTGTTGCTTAGCTGACAGGTTGGGACTGGCCCTGTAGGCACCTAGGGTCCACCTCTCCACAGGAAGTTGTTCGGTTTGGCTTGGGCTTTAAACAGGGTGCTTTGTGATGAGGTTTCATGCATTTTTTTTTAAAAAAAAGAACTCTTTATGATGGCCTATAAGCATGTGCTGAAGACAGTGAGCCCCTTGCCCCCACCCAGCCTGACAGTCATCACTGTAGAGTGAGCTTGTGTCCCTGGCCCCACCTACTCCCTTGCCTCTTGTTATTTTGAAGCAAATCCCAGACACCGTATTATTTTGCACATAAATATTTCAGTATTAGCTTCTTACAGATGCTTCCATTAGTGCAACCACAGTGCGGACCCAAACTTGACAGAATTTCTGAATATTATCAGATTTCCAGTTGAACCATAGAAATCATACCTGTGTTTACAGTTTCATCTGAGAGCCAGATGTGATTCATTGGTCTGTTGTGTCTCTTTAACTCGTATCTTCTTCTCCATCTCTGTATTTCCTTGTTGGTTGTTGATTAAGGAAACTCTGTCCCTTGTCCATTAGACTTACCCAGTCGTGGCTTCGCTTGTTGCATCCTGTGCTGTGGTCTGTTCCATGCTCTGTTCCATGCTGTGGCTTCGGTCTTCTTAGGAAATTCAGAGTCAGATCTGATACCGCATCATATTTGGGTTAACGTCTCTCACTGAGTACGTTAGAGGAGGTGTGCACTTAGATGGTTGGTGCATGAGTCTTGATTTTCTCCCTTTGATGGGATGGGTGTATTGGCTGTTGATACCCGGTGCCCACACTGCTGTTCACTAGGGGCTGTGCGATGGTAATTCTCTAATTCCATCACTCCTAATTCACATCTTATCAGAGTATTCCCATTAAAAAAAAAAAAAAAAAAAAAAAAAAAGGAGCCATCACATACTTGGTTAGCTGGTACAGGAACAGCAGGTTCTCACAAGCCGCCTCCCAGGGCTCCCACCTTCCTAAGCCTCCACAGTGACCTGTTGGATTTGTCTTTTGTGGTGTTATAGGAACTCTGGTGTTAAAATACACTTGTGATTTGACCCACTGAGTTTCTTTTCCATACCTGCACTTGGAGTCGGGGGAACTTAGCACCTCCTGCTTTTGACAGTACCCCGAAGCCTTCCATAATGTCTGTGCTCTCAGGGGTGACAAGATATTCCTGGTTCTGTTAGTAGGAAATGGAATTTCAAGACTCAGAGATTTCATAAGATTTTTTATGAACTGTTTACAGTTGGAAGGGGCCATGGAGAAAATCCTGACCACCCAGAAACGATTAGTGGCCTGATACAAGTATGTAGCAAGTTATAGACCTGGGCAGAACCTGACTTCTAGCCCTGGGTGCCACTTACTTAAAAACCTTGTACTCCAGGGGCCCGCACCTGGTCACCTCTCTTTCAGCGTGTGTTAGTGTGTGTGAGTAAACCACAGCTTACTCTATCCCATTTTCCTGGGCTGTTGGTCATTAAGAGCCCAGGAAAACCTCACTTGTGAGGCTGCTTCTTCGAGTGTGCGTGTGCGTGTGTGTGTGTGTGTGTGTTCATGCACATGCCACTGCACACATGTGGAGGTCAGAGGACAATTTTGTGAAGTCAGTTCTCCCCTTCCACTTTTATGTGAGTTCTGGGGATCCAGTGGTTGTCAAGCACAGGCAGCAAATGCTTTACCCACTGAGCATCTTGTCAGCCCAAGCCGCACACATCTTGCTCATCCATACTCTTCCTTCTTTCTTTCAGCATTTGGAGTATTGCTTTGGGAAATTGCTACCTATGGCATGTCACCTTACCCAGGAATTGACCTGTCACAGGTCTATGAGCTGCTGGAGAAAGACTACCGCATGGAGCGCCCGGAAGGTTGTCCGGAGAAGGTCTATGAGCTCATGCGAGCATGTGAGTCTCCCTTGCTGTTTAGAAGGCACCTGTGGGCTGCAGGAACGCAGGCAGTGGGCGTGTCTACAGAAAGCAGTTCCTGGAGGCTGGTGGCTCTCTGGCCACTAATGGACTTTTGACTTTGAGGCTTCTTTCAATGATTTTACATACCTTTATTTACAGATCAATGTGTGTGAGTGGTTTTTGTCTTCTTTGTGGGGGATGGCTTTTTTTTTTTGAATCTCACTCTGTAGACCTGGCTAGCCTGGAACTCATAGTGATCCTCCTGCCTCAGACTCCCAAGTTCTCGGACTATAGGCATGAGTTACCATGCTCAGACTCTTCTTTTTTTTAAGCATAAAAAGTGTTAAATGGCTGGGCGTGGTGGTGCACACCTTTAATCCCAGCACTCGCCTTTAATCCCAGCACTCCAGAGGCAGAGGCAGGCAGATCTCTGTGAGTTCAAGGCCAGCCTGGTCTACATAGGGAGTTCCAGGACAGCTGGGGCTACAGGGAGACCCTGTCTCAAAAAAAAGACCAAAAAGCGGGGGGTGCGGTTTAAATGGATACCGGATACCAAACCTGGGTTCTTACTAATAAATACAGATTCCTAGGTCCTGCCTCCAAATAACTGTAAAACACTCCACATGATGTGTGTCTAGTCAAGTTTCGGGGGGCGGGGGTTGCTTTGTTGCCTGCTTACATGAGTTCTGTCATCTGTATATGATCATTCCTTCAACTACTTTTTTACTTAGCAGTGTAACAGGGACACCTCTCTCTGCCCATATTTAGAGATTTCCCTCACCCTGACCCCCCAACCTTAAATTAATGCAGCTGTCTAGCATGTCAGTCAGAGGTTTGAAGCATTCATTCATTTGCCCTTTTGTGATGAGCTTTTGACAGTTTTTACGCATGTGTTTGCTTTAATTACATTTTATTGATTGATTGATTTGGGTGCATACAGGCCACAGTACAAGTATGGAGACCACAACGTGTAGGAGTCAGTTCTCTCCTTCCACCATATGGGCCCGAGATTGAATTCAGATGGTCGGGTTTGACAGCAGGCGACTTTACCCATGGAGCCATCTCACCGCCCCACTACCGCTTTATAAACAAGGCAGGGCAAACATCCTCGTCCATATATTTCCACACTTACACTGATATTTCTAAAAGCTGAACTGTTGGTTCAAAGAATTAAGTATTTTAAATCCTTATACTGTTGACAAAATTATCTTCTTTAAAAAATAAGTTACCAGTGACGACTTCCAACAGGAGTGTGTGACAAGCAGAGAGCAGCTGCGCCTTCACTGACCCTTCTAATCCTTAAACATTTTCTGATTTACCTATTTTTATTTTATGTGTATGAGTGTTTTGTCTGCCTATAAGTGCACCTGCGTGTGTAAAGGCCTGCAGAGGCCAGAAGAGGGCATTAGAACCTGTAGAACTGGAGTTATGGGCCATTGTGAGGAACCTTGTGGGTGCTGAGAACCAAACCCAGGTCCTCTGCGAGAGCAGCCAGTGCTCTTAAACTCGGAGCCTCTCTCCACCTCTTCATCTTTTCAGTCTTGTTTTCCTCAGCATGGCAGTCCCAGCAGCAGGGAAGCTGAGGCAGGAGGATCACCGGAGCTCGGGACTTGAGACTAGCCTCAGGAGCATAGTGAGATCTGGTCCGAAAAAGACAAAAGAGGATGGATACCTTCGCTGCTGTAGTGAGGAGTTTAGACTTTGATGAGTGTGACGTGAGGATGAAGACAGAGACAAGCTACTGCCTTGCCAGCACCCCGTCTGCCAGTGGTGTGTGGAGAACCATTTGTAGATGGAGTTCTCCTTGTCAGTGTCTCTCTGGAGTTTTGCAGTCCACATTTCTGCCAGTGTGGAATGTCTTTTCAAATTCTTAACGTCTGTAACAGGACGCGGCAGCATTCGGCATTTTAACTTGTCATGGCGTCAGCTGGTCGCAGCTTGAGTTGCCGCTCTCATGTCCAGACCATTCCTTGGGAATAGCTAGTCCCTGGGTTCGATAGCAGTGCTTCCTGGCTGGTCTGATGAGGGTCTTCTCTGTCCAGGTTGGCAGTGGAATCCCTCTGAACGGCCTTCCTTTGCTGAAATTCACCAGGCCTTTGAAACGATGTTCCAGGAATCTAGTATCTCAGATGGTAATGTACCAACCCGGGGCCCATGGTGGGTAGAGGGTTGGATTGGGGCTATATGGGCTTCAGTTTGTTCTGGTGAAAGTGCCTGAGCCAAGTGAGAGACCAGAAATCTGAGCAGAGGCGTTGGTGGTGGTTCTGCGTCTAAGCTGACACCGTCACTGATGGCTGCTGGGTCTGTGCTGTGTTGTGATCCTTAGAAGTGGAGAAGGAGCTGGGGAAGCAAGGTGTGAGAGGGGCTGCTGGCACTGTGCTTCAGGCCCCGGAGCTGCCCACCAAGACCAGGACCTCCAGGAGAGCTACTGAGCAGAAGGACACCACTGACATGTCGGAGCTGCCCCACACCAAAGCCCAGGGAGAGAGTGGTATGTTCCCCCTCCTCACCCCTCAGGCCAGGGTAGGCAAATGGGAAGCTGTGCATGGAGCTGGCAGGGAAGGGCAGTAGTCCCTCCTCAGTGGTTCAGCCCTGAGGGAGGAAAGCTACCTCTTGCCCAGTCACTTCTCTCCCTGGGGGCCATTCAGCAGTTGGCCATTCCAACAGGCAGAAGGCTGAGACGACTACGGGGAAACACACCCACCTTGCCATCTTTTCTTCAGCGTTTGTGGGCCTCTTTCAGGGCAGATAAAGCAATAGTAAACATTAAACTGAGCAAAGAGCAGCTTGTGAATCACTCACAGGAGGTCACTGGACAGAGCTGGTGACCCTGTGATTTCTGGAGTATCTGTCTGCACTCTTCCCCAGGCCAGGAGGGAGATGTGGTTGGGTCAGGAGGTGCCTAGTCCTATTACCAAGGATAATACTAGCAAACATGGGTCTGGGGCTGCCAGGCTGTTCGCTGAGTGACACCCCAAAACAACAATTTGGTTCTCCTGAAGATTCACCTGGACTGGCAGGGGCTCCCAGTGTGGGCTGATACTGATGGGCCACTGGCTATCTTGAGTGGGACCAGGCAGAACAAAGCCAAGTTCTGATGGAGATTCATGTGAAGTGTTCACTAACAGCAAGACCCACAGACCTCAGTCTTGCGGTTTTTAGCTTATACTCCCACTAGTGAAAAGTTGAGTGGTCAGCCTGTACAGTATATAAACTCCTGTAGGAATGGTACACATACTTTGTGCCAAAGATGTGTGCTTAGAAGATGTACAGAAAGGCTGAGGAGAGGGCTCAGAACACTTTGCTTGAGTCAGGGTTGTCCTCTGACCGCCACATTGCTGTGGCATGTGCACACATGTGTACACACATGTACACATGGCCAAATCATCTTGCACCCAAAGGCTGTTCCTTCACTCTCTGTTGTTTGTCATTTGTGAAGTCATGGGCAGTGGGAGGAGGAAGGGTTGCCAAGGAGCATGCACTTAGGAGAAGTCCAGGGATGAGCAGGTATGTCTGTTACTGCCCACAGTATCCCTGGCGAGGTGTTTTGATAGGTTATCTCCTGGTGAGCCTGGAGGGTCCACAGCAGCTCTGCTCTGGAATGTGACTGTGTGTGATCCAGAAGAGTCTCTCCCCACCTCCTTCTGCTGGATTGTGTGGGCTGGCCCACCCCCTTGGAGGCAGCAGAGCCCACCAAGTCCCCAAAGGCCAGCAAAGGCCTCATTCTGATGTCTGCCTCTGCTGGTCTTAGGACAGACACATCCTCTCCTCTGCCTAGTGCTGAGGGAAGCCTCTCTCAACAGCTAGCTGCAGCGGTCTGGCAACACCAGTTTAAAGCCCTTGAGTTGTATTGTCCCATTTTATGTGAGAAAACTGAGGATGGGGAAGGGAAGTGCCATGGAGCTTCCTACACAGAGGTGGATGAGAGCTGATCAGTCCAACTCCTGAGCCAGCATGCCCAGCCCCTGGGGAGCGGCTGCTCACCTCTCTCTTCGTGTTTCAGATCCCCTGGACCATGAGCCTGCTGTATCCCCACTGCTTCCTCGGAAAGAGCGTGGGCCCCCAGATGGCAGCCTAAATGAAGACGAGCGCCTTCTCCCCAAAGACAAAAAGACCAACCTGTTCAGTGCCTTGATTAAGAAGAAGAAGAAAATGGCGCCAATGCCCCCCAAACGCAGCAGCTCTTTCCGGGAGATGGATGGCCAGCCGGAGCGCCGAGGGGCCAGTGAGGATGATGGCCGGGAGATCAGCAATGGAGCACTAGCTCCCACCCCCTTGGAGGCAACAGAGCCCACCAAGTCCCCAAAGGCCAGCAATGGGGCTGGCGTCCCCAATGGAGCCTTCCGGGAGCCAAGCGGCTCAGGTTTCCGTTCTCCCCACCTGTGGAAAAAGTCCAGCACAATGACCAGCAACCGGCTGGCCACCGGTGAAGAGGAAAGCTGCGGCGGCAGCTCCAGCAAGCGCTTCCTGCGGTCCTGCTCAGCCTCCTGCATGCCCCATGGGGCCAGGGACACAGAGTGGAGGTCGGTCACACTGCCCCGGGACCTGCCATCTGCTGGCAAGCAGTTTGACTCATCCACTTTTGGAGGACATAAAAGTGAGAAGCCGGCTCTGCCTCGGAAGCGGGCCAGTGAGACCACCAGGTCTGAGCATGTGGCCAAAGGCACGGTGACACCCCCTCCCCGACTGGTGAAGAAGACCGAGGAGGCTGCTGATGAGGTCTTCAAGGATATGGAGTCTAGCCCCGGCTCTAGTCCTCCCAGCTTGACTCCCAAGCTCCTCCGTCGGCAGGTCACTGCCTCTCCTTCCTCTGGCCTCCCCAACAAGGAAGAGGCCACCAGGGGCAGTGCCTCTGGGACCTCTGCCTCCACTGAGCCAGCACCCCCGAGCAGCAGGGTAGGGCTCAGCAAGGCCTCCACCGAGGAGACCCGAGTAAGGAGGCACAAGCACTGCTCTGATTCTCCAGGGAGAGACAAGGGGCGGCTGTCCAAGCTCAAGCCTGCTCCTCCACCACCGCCAGCCTCTGCGGGGAAAGCTGTGAAACCAGCACAGAGCCCCAGCCAGGAAGTGGCCGGGGAGGCAGGCAGTGCCACAAAGACAAAATGTACAAGTCTGGCTATGGATGCTGTGAACAGTGACACCGCCAAACCTGGCCAGCCAGGGGAAAGCCTCAGAAAACCTGTGCCCCCGTCCGTGCCAAAGCCACAGTCAGCCACTAAGCCACCAGGGACTCCCACCAGCCCAGCCTCTACTCCCTCCATACTGCCAGCAGCCTCCTCAGCCCTAGCTGGGGACCAGCCATCTTCCGCTGCCTTCATCCCCCTCATATCGACACGAGTGTCTCTTCGGAAGACCCGCCAACCCCCGGAGCGCATCGCCAGCGGCACCATCACCAAGGGCGTGGTTCTGGACAGTACCGAGGCCTTGTGCCTTGCCATCTCCAGGAACTCGGAGCAGATGGCCAGCCATAGTGCTGTGCTGGAGGCCGGCAAAAACCTGTACACGTTCTGCGTGAGCTACGTGGACTCCATCCAGCAGATGAGGAACAAGTTCGCCTTCCGCGAGGCCATCAACAAGCTGGAGAACAACCTCCGAGAGCTCCAGATATGCCCTGCAACAGCAGCCAGCGGCCCGGCCGCCACGCAGGACTTCAGCAAGCTCCTCAGCTCTGTAAAGGAGATCAGTGACATCGTGCAGAGGTAGCAGAAGTCAGGGCTTATGCCATCCGGAGCTACTGCAGTCCATGAGGGCTCATGTGCCTGTGTGTGACGGTGACAGAGGACCAGGGGCCTGCATCTTGGCAGGGGCTCTGAGCCAGGTGGCCTTTCTACCTGCATTGGGCACCAGCTGGCTTGCACCTTTCTTCCCCATCCCAGGCACCCTGAGCCACCTCTCTTCTTACCTCCTCCTATCTGTGGACTTACTGATCTGTGACTGTAGCCAGCCTGCCAGGTGCCAGGGCCCACCAGGCTTACCCATCAGTGCCTCAGAGCCAGCCCTCAGGCCAGCTGGGAATACCCAGAGGACTGTGTTCCTCTCAGGAGGAGGCCCTGCTCATTCTGTCTCTGTCTCTGTCTCTATCTCTCTTTCTCTCTCTCTCTCCCTCCCCCTCCCCTCCCCCCCACGCACACGCATGCACACACACACACACACACACGTGACCCTTTACTGGCCATCCTATACCTTCAAGCTAAAGGCCTGTCCCAGGAAGGCTGTGCTCACCATTTCCTCATGTAAAGGAAGCTGTTGATCTGGAGGTTATGGGGTGCTAAAGTCAAGGGCCCACATGTGTGGGTGCTAAAGATGGTGGAGCCTGGGAAAGTGCCGGCAGCCTGTCGCCTGTCCTCTACATCACACATGTTGTGCCCTACAGATCCTGGATAGGAAGCTTGAGCTTCACAGGTGACTGTCGCTAGCCGGCTGGGCACACAGGGCAAGCCCAGTGCTCCAGGAGGCCACTCCTTACTTCAAGGTGCCCCAAAAGATAAGGGTTTCTGAGCAGTGTCCTTCCTCTCTCCTGTTCCTGAAGCCAGGTTGATCCTCGGGCCCTTGTTTCTATGACAGAGTCTGGCTTTCTGGTGTTGTGAGCTTTTCAAAGTCTGTGCAGAAAAGAGCAGACACCAGGCACAGCCAGGCAGGAAGAAAAGCCCGCTGGCCTGGGCCATCCCCGGCCTGGCTACCCCTCAGAGCTGCTGCTCGACTGCCGTCACTGCTCAGCCCAGTGCTCCTGTGACTTGCCACAGCACAGGCAGGGTGGGGTATATTTTGCAGACTTGGCCAGGGCAAGCCTCCCTTCCCCAGGCAGTCAGCTGAGGAGCAAGAGGAGCACCTGCCCGGGTCTCATACTGGGCCTGGAGAAACCCCTCCGTACTCCCTGCTTCCACACTGGCTGCTTTGCACAAGCCCCAGTTTTACACTAATCACCTAGTCTCTGGATTTATTTTTCTGATAGAGATGGTTTCCTCTGTATTGTTCTTCTATGGTCTTCACAGCACATCACCTCCTGGCCCCCAACGGCTGTTCCTCAGCCTGAAGGAGGCAGTGCCACACCGCCAGCGGCCTTGCAAAGCCAGATGCCCTCCACACCCGACCGCCATGTCCACGAGGTACTCGTCTGTCGTTGCTAACGTGCCACTATATTTTGCATTTATACTTTGGCATTACGCTCTTTATAGACTTGTTCTTTTATAAATGATGTGTAAATAGGGGCCACTGTGCTCTCACTGGAACAGTGCTGTTCCCTTTTTCCTTGGTCCAGTACATTTTGTTTCTGTATATGACTCTGTTTTTTGAATCCAAATCTCTCCTCTGTAGTATTTTTTAAATAAATAAGTGTTTACAGAATTACTGACAGATTGCTCGGTCTGAGAGTCTTCCCTGCTGCCCCAAGCCTGGTGTATGCCCCCAGCCCCCCACATACATGTGGGGAGTAGGATGGGTTCTGGGTTCTGGGTTCAGGAAGGGCTACTGCACATGTTAGGTGTCACAAAGCAGAATACTGACCAGGTGTCACAGGGCCATCCACACCTGGGCTGCCCTGCTCATTCTGTGTCCTTGGCACATGGTAATTGAACATCCTGCCCTCAATTGAGCAGAGGAGCATGCAGGGGCCAAGCACCCCACGGGTCCAGCAGCCATTGTAAATAGTCACTGTCCCAACATGGAAGCCTCAAGTGGCTGGGATCCTTTTTTTTTTTTTTAAGATAGGGTCTCCCTGTAGTCCCTGAAATTCATTATGTAGACCGGGCTGGCCTGAAACTCACAGAGATCCGGGCTGAGTACTGGGATTAAAGGCATGTGCCACCATGCCCGGCTCACATCTGGGATATTTTAAAAAATCAAATGAGGGGCTGGCGAGATGGCTTAGCAGGTAAAGGCACTTACTGCCAAGCCTGACACGTAAATTTAGTACTGGGACCCACATGGTAGAAAACCAATTCCTATAAATTGTCCTCTGACCTCCACACGTGTGCCATGGTGCATGCACACAAAACACACTAAATAAATAAAAATTTCTTAGAATCAATGGGCCAAGGAGATGGCGCAGTTCAGCAAATTGGGTCCTACAGCAAACTTAACAAAACTCCAGCACTGGGAGAAATGACCAGAGGCTCCCTGGGGCTTGCTGATCAGCCAAACTAGGCAAATTGGTGAGCTCCAAAGGTAGAATGCAATTGAAGAAACCCAATATCGACCTCTAGCCTCAGCATGTAAACACATGTATGTGTATGTGCACGCATACATAGATGCATACATGGAAAAGGAAATGGAGGGGTTGGAAAGATTGCTCAGCACCCACATTGGTGGCTCACAACCACCTGTCACTCCAGGTACAAGGGACTGATATGCTTTTCTGGCCTCCATGAGCTCCTGCATTGCACATGGTTCACATACACTCAAGCCTACACACAGTCATGTTTGTTTGTTTTTTTTTTTATCTTAAAAAGGGTGGAAAAGCACGTGGTGGTGCACGCCTTTAATCCCAGCACTTGGGAGGCAGAGGCAGGCGGATCTCTGTGAGTTCAAGGCCAGCCTGGTCTACATAGTGAGTTCCAGGACAGCTGGGTCCACAGGGAGACCCTGCTTCAAAAAGACCAAAAAAAAAAAAAAAGGTGGAAATATTGCAGATGTCTGTCCGCAGACGTGAGGATTCACAAATCAAGCTTTGTTCACACTGGGGTATTGGGATGTAGTGAGAATTAGAACATCTTGGGTGCAGCTGTGAGGTGGTGTTTAGCTCTGCTTGCTACAGCTGTGTCAGGACAAGGGCGAGGGGCAGAGCTCAGAGGCTGGGTGCTCCAGCCAGCAGGTGTCTTAGTGAAGGTGACCACACACTTAGAACCGGGCCCTCTGGAAGCACCCGCACTGTAGTGGCAGTTTCCGTGTGAGCTCTTGCAGCTCTCTGCGGGCTCTGCCTTGCCACATGGAAGGCCCACGTCATCCTTTAAGGAGAGCACTCTGTCACTGTCCTCTTTTGAGGGGTAGAGAAGCTGGTGCTCAGAGAGGTGAAGCAGCTTGGCCAAGGCCTCACAGCGGGTGCCCACTGTGTCAGGTTAGTTCCTAGGCAGTGTGGATGGTCACACCCAGCTCAGCAGAGGCAGGCTTCAGACTGTGTTCCTCCCTCTGCAGTGGTGAACCATGGCCTGTCTGGCCTCAAGGGGAGACAGATTTCACTCTTCACTCAGCACACCCTGGGGGGAGGGGGGAGGGAGGGGAGAGAGGGCCAGAAGTGTGTGTGTGTCTGTCCAGCAGTCAATGTTGGGTGTCTTTCTCAGTTTCTCTCAGCCATTTTTTTTTTTTTTTTTGAGACAGTGTCTCTCACTGAACCTGAAGCTCACTGATTTGCTAGACAGGCTGTCCATTGAGCTCCAGAATCTGCCTCCACCTTTATCACCATCCACCCAACTTCACACCCACCCCACCAGAGTTGGGATTACAGACCTGCGCCCGTCTGTTATATGGGTGCTGGGGATCTGAACTCGGGTCCTCATGTTTGCATGGCAAACACTTTATTGGCTGAGCTTTTTCCTTGGCCCCTAGGGAGTCATCATACACCCTGTACAGGCCACGTTGGGTGGGAGCAGTCTAAAGCAGCCCCCATTCGTGGCACCTCCATCTCTGGCGGTCTTGACGAGGACCCCTGCTGCAGCTAATGTCAGTTCTGCAGTCGGACACCTGGGATACTGTCTGAGTGGGCATTCCCCAGGCATCTTGGCTTATTCCTGTGGAAGCACAGAGGCGCAGGGTGACCAGAGTCTCATGGTGAGGTCTGTGGATCTGGCCTGTGCCATCTTTGGCACTGAAGCGAGCAAGGGTAAGGTGGGTCCCTCTTCACTGCAGCTGTCCCAGGCCTTTTAAATTGTTCCTTAAGCATTTGATATTATTTCAAACAGGAAGTTGTGGACAGAAATGTTCATCCATCCACCAGCTGAACACCAGTAGATGTACGTCCACAAGGAGACTTGTCATCTTGTTCCATATTTTGTTTTTTGAGACTGGGACTTATTCGTCTCAGACTGACTTCAATCTCACTAGGTAACCAAAGCTGGCCTTGAACTCCTGATCCTCCAGCCTCAACCTCCTGAGTGCTGGGATTATGACCACTAAGCCTGGCTCTTGCTTGCAACTTGAACGAATACAGTGAACATCTACAGACAGCTCCCAGGCTGGGACTTAGAGCTGCCAGGCCAGGAGGTGAGTTGCTTGAGACTGAGCCTCCCCTTCCCAACCAGTGATCTTCCACCCCGGGGAGGAGAAAGGAAAACCTAGAGCTTGCCAGAAGCGTGGGGTACTTGGGGGCAGGGGATTAAAGAGAGAGTTTAGTACCACACAGGCGAGCTGGTTTAACAGATCGATGCTCTAGCAGCCTGAGTGTTCTGATTTTCAGGGCTATTGAGCTCCAATGTATAAGCAAACTGGAAAGAATAGCTTTGTTGGTTTTCTTTTAATGATGAAAAGTAATGACAGCAGATGCATTCCTTTGAAGGCCCCCCATTGCCCCTCCCCCCTTTCATCTTGGGCCTCTCCATTGAGGTTCTTGCGTTCTTTTAATGATGAAAAGTAATGACAGCAGATGCATTCCTTTGAAGGCCCCTCATTGCCCCTCCCCCCTTTCATCTTGGGCCTCTCCATTGAGGTTCTTGCTAAATTCAAAACCTGCCAAGCTTGGGGTGTGGCTTAGTGGTAGAAAGCTTGCCTAGCATGTGCAAGGCCCTGGGTTTGATCCCCAGCACAGCAAAATAAGATGAAAATAAAAATGAACCAGTGCCTCCCCACAGAGTGGGTAAGGCTGTGCAGTCTGTAGCCTGCTGGCTGCCAGTGTCTCAGGACCATGGGTGATGTACCACTTGGCAAGTGAAGGTGTGCCAGGATCCTGACTGCTCTCTGCCCTGGTCTGTCTGTCTGGGGTCTTTTTGAGACAAGGTCTCCTTGTAGCTCCAGCTGGCCTAGAACTCACTATGTAAACCAGGCTGGCCTTGAACTCACAGAGATCCACCTGCCTCTGCCTCCCAAGTGCTGGGATTAAAGGTGTGCACCACCATGCCCGGCTCATCTGATCTTCATTGATCTACTTTTTCTGTATGAGTGAACCTCAGGAGGGGTTGAGCCAGGTTACTGCCCCCACCAAAGCAGGGTGAGTGCCTCCCATGGGGCAGAACCAGCTAGACTCAGACTCGCTTCTCTAGGTCCACCAGTGATCAGTGTCCTCAGGCTGTCTTCACAGGTGCTGACCCAGGGCACGTGTCTGTCCCCTACACACTTGCAAGTGGGAGAAGCATTCCTTTGCAGGAACATCCTCAGTCACCTCCTCCTCACATAGAGAGGAAGGCAGACAGCGATGTGCTTCCCGGACTCCTGTGACAGCAGCCCAGGACCCAGGGCTTGTGTGCAAGGCACGGGGGAGCCCTGTGCAGGCAGCGGCAAGGCGCTAGGGAAAGGTGCACTGTAAAGTCTGATATTTGGGCTCTGGCCTCCCTCCCCACCTCACCTCCCAGCCCTGCTCCCCAGTCAGTGTGGTTCTTTTGTGGCTCAGATCTGTCACCCTTAATGAAATGGCTTTCTGGCTTCCTGAGGATTGAGAGCTGCTACTGGCCGACACAAGTCACTAATAGAATGGAAAACACCGAAATACTCCAAGGTGCCAAGCTGGGCCCAGCCCAGTGTGGTTCTAAAAGGCTAATAAAAATCCACCAATTAATTGTGACAGCTCAATGGAAAATTATTCAATTGTGAACAGGGGCAAGCCGCCACTTGGAAGGAGGAGGGAGATGTTGCCATAGAAACATCAATATAAGTTCCCATCTCAGCAGTGGCAGACAGCCCTGGAGTGAGCTGCTTCTGACGGGTGTGTCTGACCCCGATTGGGATGCAGGGGACCACAGCAGCCTTTAAAAGGGATGTTCTGCCTGGCCCCAGGCCTGTAAACAGCCCGGGCTGAACCTGGCTCCCCCAAAGCCCCCAGGTAGAGATGTTGTTTTCCACACACTCCTTAATCCTGAGAGAAGCAGGTGGGGAGCAGAGACTGAAGGAGGAAACAGCCTGTATCTCCCCGTACTTTTGCCCAGCTGCCAATTAAGGGGATGCTAGGAGAGGTATGCAGGCACAGGCAACACGATTTCCATCTCCCCAAAGCCAAGGCTCCAGGAGCTCAAGCAAAGGAAGTTTCTGGGGCCCAAAGGACCTGGAGGGAAGAGGCCGGCATCCCATTACAGTGCTGCAGTAGTTACAACTTTTATTTCAAAAGGTACACACACAACACATTCCTATTCTGAGTATTTGAAATGCAACTTTTGCTTAGCACAAATGTATCCCTTTCCTAGATCAGCTCCCATGAGGCCCTTGGCTTTGCAAAGGCGACCACACTTGGACAAGGTCAGCTGCCAGAGGGATTGGGCAGCCAGAGGGAAGAGCAGGCTGTCCAAAGGGCAGCTCCTCGCCACCCACCGCAGGCATTTCTTGCCAGAGGCATCTTGTGCTAATGGCATGGAGAGCGAGCTTACTGTTTTCCGTTTGTTTGGGTTTTTTTCCCTCCTTCATTTTTAACTTTCAGAACCATACTCTGTAGACACTGGAGTGTACTCATTCACAGTTAGACTTCAGATGTCGGCTAGCAGCGTCCCTATGGAGACTGTCAGAACTTTGATTTACCCGCTGTAATCTCTCAGTCCACCTATTCCATTCGTGGCCCCACACAGCCTCAGCACCCTGCCCCTGGAGACCTGGAGGAAAGCGGGAGGCTGAGGCAGAGGCAGCCTGGGTCCTGGATCAGGACCAGAAGACACTGACATATTAACCAAGCCAGGACTTGTTCTTTTTCCTTTATTATTATTATTTTCTTAACACCCAGGTTTTTTGCTTTAGCTAAATTAGAAATGAAAAGTTAAGCACACGTCTAGCCAACACTAAAGGCCTTTGCCCTCTCAGTGTCTGGCTCCTCGAGGCTGGGGACAGGACAGGGGAGTGATGACAGATGAGGGCAGAGTCCTCAAAGAAGCCCCTCACCGGCCAAAGCGGAAGCTGAAGCCTCCTTTCCTCCTGCTGTAGCTGTTGAGTTCCTCTGCCAGGCTCCCCAAGGGGCCACTGGTTTTCAAGTCGGCGGGCAGAAAGCCTGCAGCCTCGCCGCTGACGTCCTGCCTCCCCGGACGGAATCCGGTGTGCTCCTTGTGCGAGGCCTGAAGCTCCTTGGCCACCATCAGCAGGGCCTGTGGCTGCAGTATATTTGGCCTGGAGGGACTCCGCCCAGAGTGGGGTCTGCGTCCTTCTGCCAGGTGGGCCCAGCTCATGCTGGTTCCAATGACACCTGCAGCATCTGAGGATCCCCTTCTGGCCAGCAGGGGAAAGCAGGTGCCCAGTGGCAGGAAGAAGAAGAGGAGGAGGAAGGGCAGGGCCTGGAGACGTCTCATCTGAGCAAAGAAAGGAGGGGAGGAAGTTAGTGACCTCTATGTGACCACGTGCCATCCCTGGCCCCAGGTTTCCCAAGGCCTGGGCCCTTTGTGGGGAAAGCTGGTGGCTCAGCCGAACCCGGCTCCCTAGCAGTGTTGGGGACCAGCCTTTCATTTCTTAGCCAGCAGAACTGGCCGTATCAATCAGGCTGGTTCTCAGTCTCCTGCAGCTGGGGACCTGCCTGCCTTGGTGGCTCAGCACTAGAATGCCCCAGCTGCCAGGTGGCTCACAGAGGTGCCAGGGTGGCCCTCAGGGCCATGTGCATTTGGGTTCTGCTTTCTGTGATAATTATTAACTCTTGGGTTGTGGACAGAGAGTGAGACGCCTCACTGTTTCCAACTTGATGATGAATGGGTCTAGCTGGTTCATGGGAAACTCCCATCTCCCTAACGTGGAAATGAGCTGCTCTGAAATCAGAAAGTGGATTTGGTGGTTCTCATGTAACAGACATCTACCTGGGCAGGAGCAGGTGGCAGGGCTGGGTATGGCTAGCCCCCACTGAGCATAATGGACAGGACATAAAGATTTTCCCACACAGATGGGCTTATCTTCACAGTAAGCTTGTCTGCCGCAAACTGTGCCCGTCACACAGCTCAAGTGGCTGGAGGCTCTGGGCTCCTAATGACTGTGTTTAGGCCTGCAGGAAATGCTCGCCTCCCACACATAGCTGATACAACACCCCAGCCTGCCTACCCAAATGCTGCCCCCAACTCCTCAGGCTCAAAGAGGCCCAGGGCTTGCCCTAGACCCTACTGCTTTATAAGGAAGGGATTTGTGTTCAAGGCACCCTTGCCGCACCCAAGGCTCGCTGAGACTGCCGTTGTCTCTGGGGGACCAGAACAGAAGCAGAATCCCCCCAGAATGCCTTTTCCTTGCTGGGAACCGCTTCCTTCCCTCACAAAGAAAGTCTTTTTAGTAATGACCATGGGTGAGTCGGTCTGGGCTGGCTCATCCTCAGAAGAGTCCCCTGAAGCTGAAATAGCGAGGCGCAGCTCTGGGGAAAGAGTGCCTTCCAGAAACTCCCCAGAGCTCTTTCCAGAAACGGCTCCCTTGAAAACATTTCAAAGAAGTGAGCTCAGCCAGAAAGCTTCAAAAAAAAACCCCAACAAAAGCCGCCCTGCTTTCTACCCAAATCCAACTCGCTAAGCTCCCTAGTCCCCAGGGGCCAGAGCAACGTCCGGCCTGCTGCTGTGGGGGAGGGGAATGTCCCTCAGGCTCCTCCCAGGGTGGTGGATAAGCCCTGTCCCTACTTTCATCCACCCTCCTGGTGGATAATGCACCTGGGGTGTGGTCTCTGGGTCTCTAGGAAGAACTTGTCTTGGTTTGGGGCAGGAAGTGGCCTTTCCTCCTTTGGGGGAGAGTATTCGCCATTGAGAACAGCCTGGTATAAGTCAGAGCTTCGAAGCCTCAATGTCTAGGAAAGGGCTGGAAAGCTGGAAAGGCACAGGGAAGATTGGTACCAGCCCAGCTGGGGCTGCCCGTAGGACGAGGCACAAGTCTCCTTCCATCGGCCTTTCTCTGTCTGTGGTTCAAGGTGCTCTGCCTGCCTGCACCCAGCTCACCTAGAGGGTTGGTCCTGGAGACCCCTGTTGTACTCACTGTGTCGTGGTCTGTTCCCAGGAGGACTGATGGATCTCTGGGCCCTGGTGCTGGGCTGGGCAGAGCTGCTTGGGTTCTGGTCCAGGAGGCAAGGCTCCTGGGTATCTTCACTTTATATAGGTCCCTGGTGTCGTGGGCCCTGGGCTGCCTGATTACTGTACATTCCTGGCCCTGGGATTCCTTTGGGGCAGCTGGTGGTGAAGGAGGGGGTGGCGCACAGCAGGATGAAGACCAGTGCAAACAGGATGTGGTGTGATGAGTGCGACAGGCACTGCCCTTTAGAGAGGGCAGCATCATTGGCTGTGAACTGCGGACACAGACCCTTGATCCCTGGGTGGAGGCTTCAGTGCCCACCCTTAGAGCCACTGATGGCCCTGCCTTTGTCATATCCCTCCAGAGAAGGTGGGTGACAGTGACTCTTTTCTCACCTGCTGCCGGGGCTGGAGAGTCACACAGTCCCTTTTGTAGCAAGATGAGGCGTTGTTCTGATGTGCACACCACCTGCTCTAGACCCTTAGGAGAGGCAGAAGTGGACAGGACGCCTGCTTCTGAGGGGTGCGAGGGATAGAGCCCAGACCAGGCAGGCCCCTCTCTGGTGGAGGCCCCAGTACCACAGTCAGTCTGTCCAGTAGATGGCGTGCTCTGTCTCCCACTGTTTGCCGCAAGACTGTGCCTAATGACCTGATCAGACTTGCCTGACTGTTCTGCCATGTTAACACAGGGCCTGCCCTTCTGAGTCTCCGCTGAGAGGTCACATCCAAATTGAGAGGTCACATCCAACTTTCCCAGTGGCAGTCATGGTGACCTGGAGGTGAGACCACCCTGTAGGCTCCCTGTGGACCCAGCTAGCCCATTCCCTGCCCTACTAAGCCACCCCATGCTCTTCCTTCCACCAACACACTCAGCTGTGGCTTCCAGAGCCAATTTAGAATGTCTCACTCACTCACTCACTCATTCACTCACTAAGCCAGTGTCACGAGGTTTCCTAGAGCTACCAACAAGATACAGTGCTGGGGGGAAGAGGTTTCCTGAGGGCTCTGAGGGGACAGGAGGAGACTAGAGAGGCCTGGACTTACGACAAGGAGGGCACGGACCTCTGGCTTCCACTGAGAGCTGTGGTGAATACCAGCTCCTGCTGGGCTCCATGGGGCCACCTGCCTTCCGTGACCTGAAGGCTGTTGTGACAGCATCAGGCTTAGAGGTTTGGGACTGCCCGAGGTCAGAGCTGGCTCAAGACTGGGCCAGGTGTGGGCCCCATTGCAGGAGGACTCAGGGGGCTAAACTTGGATGAAGGTAGGGGTCTGAGGTCTGGGTCAGTACCTGGGAAGGCATGGTCCAGACTAGCTGTCACACATGCCCCTTCACACCCAATCCCAGCCTCCACACTGTGAGAAACAAAGGCAGGTACCGAGGAGCCCAGGCAATACGTCACCTTGGATAGGCTGGACAGAGCTCCAAGACAGGACCATATCCCAGGGAGCTTCAGAGCCTTCCAGAAAGCTGCCCCTGGCTTCCTCACCCAATTCTGCTTCCTGCTCTGCTCAGCCCCTGTGGCCACATTGGCTAGGCACCTGCTCACCTGGTACAGGCAAACCCAGGCCAGGGGGTAGAGAGACCAGGGTCCTCCTGTTGGTGTCCCCACAGGGTTCTCAAGAGTGTGGGCCACCCTGTGTGGAGGGGAGGGTTGGGGGATGCTGGCAGATGCTTCTGCTCTGGACTAGGCATCGCCTTTCCCTGGGTCAGTTCCTGGGGAACACACTGCTGAGGGCTCTAACTTGCCTAGGAAGGGCCCCAGCCTACCACATAACCACTGGGCAAGGCTCACCCTGAGACACCTGGCCCTTAGTCACATGCAGTGGAGGGACCTCACTGAATAAAGATCTTTTGGTGGTCAATGGCTACACCGCGACCAGAGCTGCTCACAGAAGGGGTCCCTCATAAAAAAAGCAGGCCATGGAGGGGTCATAACACAGCCCCCCAAGACACATTCACTGTAGCAATGCCAGACAGGTGAGGACAGCATCAGCTCACGGACTCGTGTGTGGGGGTGGGGGGAACAAACACTATGTCCCCACAGTCAGTGACCTCACCACCTGTGCTATGCCCACCTGAGGAGAGGTATCTAAGAGCACCTTGGACATCTGTGGCCTGGCTCAAGGGTCCCATCCCCCAGGAGTCCCCATCTGTCCCTTCAGCCTTGTGACAAAATATGAGCCGCCCCAGTAGACGGGATGCTAAGGACCCTGGAGGCAAGAGTGGAACTGGTGTCCTGTGAACCTGAACTTGGGGCTCCCACCGTATAAGAATGAGGACCTCTCTCCTGGCTTCCCCCACCCTATGCCTACACACCTCCTGCAACATGGGCACTGGATACAAACCATTTTCAAGAAATAACTTGGGGGGCTTGAACGATGGCTCAGCAGTTAAGAGCACCCAGCGCCCACGTGGCGGCTAACAACCATCCATAACTCCAGTTCCAAGGGATCTGATGCCTTCTGACCTCCATGGGCATTGCACAACATGGGTGCACTTACATGCATGCAGGCAACACACCCATACACATAAAATAATAAAAACGGGTTGGAGAGATGGTTCAGTGGTTAAGAGCACTGACTGTTCTTGCAGAAGACCAGGGTTGGATTCCCAGCACCCACATGGCAGCTAACAACTGCCGTCTGTAACTCCAGTTCCAGGGGATCCAACAGCCTCTTCTGTCCTCCATGGGCATTGCATGACACGGGTGCACTTACCTACATGCAGGCATAACACCTCACACATAAAATAAAAATAAAATAAAATTTAAAATTTAAAATAACAATTTAAAAAAATAATGGGCTGGAGAGATGGCTCAGTAGTTAAGAGCACTGGCTGTTCTTGCAGTGCAGAAGATCTGGGTTTGATTTCAAGCACCCACGTGGCAGCTAACAACCATCTGTGACTCTAGTTCCAGGGGATCTGACACCCTCTTCTGACCTTCATGGGCATTGCATGACATGAGTGCACTCACATGTGTGCAAGCAATGCTCTCATATACATAATAATTACTATTATTATACAAGAAATAACTCAGAGACTCAAGTTGAAGCATCAGGTTGGTTCTGGGAATAAATAGGGGCTGGTAGTTCCTGAGAGTGTCAACTCCTCAGGATCCCAGGCCCTGTCTCCTGCTGGAACAGTTCATCACCATCGAGACATAGCAGGAGACACAGAGCTAGTCCAGAGAGCCTAGACCCTGGGAGACCAGTCCTTCTGGGACTGTGCAAGCCCTATCACTCCCTGCTAGCCAGACCAGCTGTCTCTGCCCGGTGAGCGACCCCTGGAAATGCAAAGTCACCTGGGAAATAGAGCAGGAGCAGTCCCAGAATACTGGGCATCTGTTTACATGGAGTACGGAACAGGGCTATAAGGAGTGACTGGAGTCAGGTCACCACAAGACTTTATTGGAGACAGGGAAAGACATGATACCAAGTACACACAGCCCCAAGTAGCGACTGCCCCATGCTGTTTGCCCGTGAGGTGCCGTGCTGACCCTCAGAGCTCCTCTCCAGCCCTGGGGCCCCAGCAAACCTGCCAGCATGCACACTGCCCAGTCCATCATGGCCAGCCTCAGGTCAGACCCCAATTCCACAGCAGCTAGACGGCAGTCTTCTGGGTTTGTGGATCCCCGAAATTGCTGGGCCCTCAGAGCCTGGGGCAACCTTCCCTGCAGGCAGATGAAGCAACAGGATCCGGAAGGTCCCTAGTCTCTTGTGTTGTCTCAGTTCCAGGCCCCATGCGTCTCCTGCCAGCTCAGTGCTCCTCAGATCACAGGACAGGGATCTGAGGTCTTGCTCACAACCCCCACCCACATTCTCTGCCTCAGAGCTGAGCCAGCTGACTTGGCTGGAAGTTGTTTGCAGGTCCTTTAAGGCCCTATCTCCCAGGAGCGTTCTTGGGAGATAGGGCCTGCATGACCGTGGCTCCAGACTCCTGTGTTCCAGTCCACGCAGAAGCTTGAGATGAGGAGGGCAGGGAGTGCTAGGAAGAGGTAGGCACTGATGTTGCCACTTCTGTTCACCTGCCCCAAAGCAAACACTAGACTCTGTTCACGTTCCCCCACCTGGCTTACTGACCAGCCCAGGCCTGCGGGGAAACCAAGGTGCTGTCCACCGTCTAACTCAGAGCGCTGACTGGCTGACTTTGACGTGACTCCCAGATCCCCCTGTGGGGTATGGACACCTGCCCCCGTACACTCAGGAAAGGAAAGCAGGTAGTGGGCTTGGTCAGGTGACATCACAGAATGTCAGTCATTCCACTACCAAATCAAAGCAGGTCTGGTGGGGCAGTGTCAGTGAAATACTCAGCCAGCTGATAGCATGGTGTCTCGGTGGACCTGCCCTGCCCCCACAGGCTCTCCCAGCATTCCTACTTCCTGCGGTCATGCCCATCTGATGGCAACCATCTGCACTGACATCAGACTGTGAGCTCGTCAAGTCCAGGGCTGGAGGCTGTGGCCCAGTGCTGACGTACAGAGAGCCTGGGTGGGGGAGTGCATATTAGGAAGGTAGAGGTAGGCTGCTGGTCTGGCATCTCCCTGCTGTGACGGGCTTGGTGCCCACACAGCCAGTGTTTGGTAGAGCCACACTTTCCAGACTACCAGCCTGGCCTGGGGGAGGGTTTGGTGCCCTGGGGTGGTGGCTGGGCTCTGGAAGGGCTGTCGTCTCCAGTGTGACCAGACACGGATGCACACACAGCCCCTCACCTGCCCACTGGCCGCCCGCTCCCAGACTGAGCTCCAGCTTGTCTTTTGTAGCCAAAGTCTGGCCCCGGGCCCGTGCCTCCTGCCACACATGCACATTGTGAATCCATTAACATCACACCCGCAGGAGTTTGTTTGATGACACATCAGAACGTGCTGGGCGCTTCTGAGCCGAGCTGGCAGAAGCTGGTGGTGGTGAAAGGCACTCCAGCACTGGTCTAGGATGGGGGCCGCCAGGACAGGTGCTCAGCATCCCGTCCACCTCTGCAATGTGACTAGGTACCCTGGAGACCTGGGTAGGCTGGCTGGCAGAGGGCATCAGGGGGACTTTCCTGTGTGCCCCCTGGCCCCACCTGCAGCCAAGCTGCTCCCTGTCAGTACCATGTCCACTCTGGGCTTGGAGTCACGTGTTTCTTGGTCACCTCTACCACCAGTTGGGGGCCAAGCAACAACCAGCCTTCTCCGGCATCTAGGTCAGCTTTGGCCCACATAGATGTGCTGTGGTTATCGCTGAAGGCCAAGGCCCATGGTGAGGGACTGCCCAGGCTACACAGCCCATCAGGGGAGCTCAGGTTTCCATACAGTCCAGCGGAAGGAGGGGTATGGATCTTCCCACCTTTCTCCAGGTGTTCCTTCCTCCTGCCAGAGGACGGTCACTAATGCTGCCTCCACCTGGGCAGCTCCCCTGATGGCCCTCTCAAAGGCCCCTATCAGGTTCCCACAGACGGGAACACATGAAGGTCTTGCTGCTAAGGGGTGGCCTACCTTCGCCCGGTTAGCCAGTGAAGCCCTCCCCCCACCCACCACTCCTCTTTGCGAGGCCTAGGTGGCAGTGCGCATGATCACCAGCAGGGGGCAGCCGCTGTACAGGGACGGAAGCCTCTGGGCCACCTGCTCTCAGGACTGGCCTCTACCCTCCAGGCCTGGCTTCTGATAATTCTGAGGTCAGTCCATGAAAGTCTCACTTTTGCCTCAGGCAGGAGAAGGGGGGGCAGGGTCCCTGGATGCCATGCAGGAGGCTGGCAGGAGGCCAGATGGACCTCATCTGAGTGGGCAGAGCGGATGAACCCCAAAAGCAGACTCCCAGGTCTGTAGGGAGCCAGGGTGGGTGGCTTACGAGGGTGGCCTTGGCCTCGGCTTCAGCCTCGGGGCCCTGCAGACAGCTGTGTCACAGCCCCGTTGGCCACAAGGCTTGGTGAGACACAGCCACAGGACCGGGCAGTCCTCAGCCCCAGCTGTTGGAGGTCCTCTGGGAAGAGGTGGGGTCTCCAGGCACTGAGGGAATGGGGTACTGTGTGGGCTAGGGCAGGTAAGCGGGTGTAAGCAAGCCCAAGCCTTCCCCTTTGATCCGCTGGAGGGGCCCAAGGTGCTGTCTGCCCTTACTCTCGATGGTCTCACAATGCTAAGTGTTTGGACAGGCAAAGAAAGCAGGGGGCGCTGGCTGGTGGCATGATCCATAGCCAGGGTGTGGCATACATACCATCATCCTGCTAGGAGACAGCAGCACAGCATGGGAGCCAAAGTCTGGGCAGGTGGAATTCAGGCCACCAGGTTCCAGCCACCATCAGCAGAAACAAGAAACCATGTCAGCTGACAAGTGCAAGTGGGGATGTGGGTGGGTAGGGGTGTCACCAGCCCAGGGAGCTGAGTGTTGGGCCAGGCCTGCGCTACCCATAGTGAACAGCAAGTCAGCCATGCACAGGTGAGCAGAGAATGTTCTCTCAGCAGTGGGCATGAGGTGGGCACGGGGTGAGATGTATAGGGACTGGATGCAGCCAGAGGACACCGGGGACGGACAGTGCATCAGGCTAGCGGTCCTCTCGAACCGGTCGAATCTTCATCTCTGAGAACTTGAGTGAGTACTGCCAGCCGGTCCAGGAGGACCACTCAACGCCATCGGCGTAGGAGGCATGCGCACCACGCAGGTACTGGCCGTTGAGGTTGGACGTGTGGCAGTTACGGTACCACCAGGCGCCTCTATAGAAGGCGGCACAGTTGTTCTCTGAGTGGTCGCTGTCCCGATCCTTGGTGGTGAATCTCATACCGCTGTGTTTCAGGAGGGAGTCACCTGTAGGGTGTGGGCACATGGATGGGGTGGATACCTGGCCACAGGTGTGCATAAGCTCCAGAACACTATCCACCAACCATGTGTACCTGGTCATGCGTATGCACACCACCCCCTCACACCTGTGTCCGGGTAGCTCGCCTGCCAACACTGCCACTGTAGGGGTCCCCGGGAGCTGTTCTTGGGTCCAGCCTGTCTTTCCCCTCCCTTCCATCCCTTTTTCTGAGGAGAAAACCAGCCTAGAGATCTCAGCTACGACCTGGCAGCTCCGCAGAACCCAACCCCAGGAACCTCCTGGCTCCAGGTCTAGACCCAGCTTTCCATGCTGTGAAATGGATGAACAACCTAGACTCTGAGCTTGCAGGGAGGAGGCAGAGAGGACCAGCTCAGACTTGGTAGGGGGAGACCGCTGGCCTGGATCCTGACCCCAGAGGGCAGAGGGGCTTGACCCAGCACGCCAGCTCTCTGCTGCACCAAGCCTCACCAGCAGTGCCCGAGTAGTCAGTCACGGTGAGTGGGTACCCGTCCTCCTCGGGGTCCACGGAGAACAAGCCCACGCCAAAGCTCCCGTAGTGGGCATAGGCGGTACCATTGTCAAAGTCTTCCAGGTCCACGTGCAGCTCGTAGGCCGCCTGCGTGGTGAGGGCGTGGATCCGTTTGAGCCCTGAGGTGGGGGGGGAAGGTGAAGGAAACCGAGGGGTCTAGATGGTGACCCCCACCCAAGAATGGAGGTCAAAGAAGAGCTGAGTACCTACGTGGAGGGCAACAACCACCAAGCGTGTGCTCCCGCCCTGGGCTGCTTCCTTCTGCCTGCAGGCCTGATTTTGGCAGGAAACTGGAGACTTGGTGTTCATGTCTGGGTTTCTGAGTTCACTATTTTGGGCTGTGCTTTGCAAACCACAGTGTGTGTGTGTGTGTGTGTGTGTGTGTGTGTGTGTGTGTGTGTGTGTGTGTGTGTGTGTATACGTGTATGTGCATGTGTGTACACCTGCATGTAGACACCAGACATCCACATCTGATGTCTTCCTCAGTTGCTCTCCAACTTAGTTTTTAGAAAAATATTTATTATTATATCTGGGCATGGTGGTGCATGCCTTTAGCCCCAGCACTCAGGAGGCTGAGGCAGGAGGATCTCTTTGAGTTCAAGGCCAGCCTGGTCTACATAGTGAGTTCCAGGACAGCTGGGGCTACAGGGAGACCCTGTCTCAAAAAGAAATATTTTTATTTTATGTGTATAAGCGTATTGTGCATGTGTGTAAGTGCACCTGTGTCACACAATGCCCATGGAGGTCAGAAGAGGTGTCAGATTCCCTGGAACTGGAGTTACAGATGGTTGTTAGCTGCCATGAGGGTGCTGGGAACCAAACCCAAGTCCTCTGCAAGAGCAGTCAGTACTCTTAACCACTGAGCCATCTCCCCAGCCCCACCACCTTAGTTTTCGAGACGGGATCTCTCACTGGAGCTAGGTGATTCAGCTGGGCTGCTGGCAGGTGAGCCCCAGGGATCCTCCTGCCTCCACATCCCTCAGCCTTCTATGTGGCTATAGGGATTCAGATTCGGGCCCTTAAGCTTGCACAGCAAGCACTTTATGGATCAAACCTTCTCCCCAGCCCCCCAGATAGTATAGGGGTTTTGAGGTGGCAGCTGGCAGAAGAGTAGCAGGTCTGGAGCTGGCTGGGGTAATGCTGTCCTTATCTTCCCTCACAATCAGGTAGGAGCTAATCTCATATTTATCTGAACTAGTCTCTGAGCCTTTGCACATGCTGTTCTCTCTGTCTGGGACACTTGTCCCTACACTCACCCTGTTGCTTTTCTGTTCAGCCTTGGAAAGGTACCTGGCCTCCTATCAGGGTTCTCACTGTCTCTGCCGACCCTGGCACCCCTTCCCTTCTTACATTCCATCGTTCTGGTCCCAGCTGTTTCCCTGTGGGTTTCCCTACCATCGTGGAAGCGCCCCCAAAGCAGGTCTTCAGTGCTGGTTGCTGGCGACCCCCAAGAATGCACAGTGGGACCCTGTGTGACACATGCTTGCTATGTATTTATCAGTCTGTGGAGTCAAGGGGGTGCCTGCACCTTCTGCTGTCCCTGGGGCCTGGCTCTGCAGCCCTCTCCTGCCCTGTCCCTTTCTCCCATACTGCAGCTCTCTGGCTCTTGGCCCATCCCAGGGTGTCACACAAACAGGGCAATTCCCTGCCTGTGTGATCAACCCTTGATTAAGACCGCATTTAATTAAACGCCTCAGAGGTTCAGAGTGGCCTGCGGTGTTCCATCAGCCCCTCCCTGTGGGCCAACATTTGGGTTATTGTGTGTGCAAGGACTTTGTGGACCCTCCCTGCCCAGCCTTGGACTCCTCTGCCAGGCCCAGGGACAGGAGACCCCTCCAGGAGGTAAGCTGCAGCCCACTACAAAATCTCTGCTGGCCCAGCTCTGCCCTGCCCCCACCACCTGGCACCGCTGTCCACAGCCCTCCTGGAAGATGTAGGGTTCAGTGCCTGGCCTACTGCACTCTACCCAGTGCTGACTGCTGCTGACAAAGAACCCAGTGAGGCAGGCACAGTGCCCCGTTGTATGGGTGAGGAGAGGAAGGCTCAGAGAGGTGAAGTCACTGGGCCAGTCACACAGCAAAGCTGGGATTTGAACCCAGGCTGAAGATCCCAGACCCCAGCTCCTCTTCAGACTTTAGCCAGGGCAAGTTGAATTTCCCAGGAAGAGGGTATGAGGGAGACAGCCCAGAGGAACACCGGGAGCTGCCCCTTTCCATCACTACATGGTCACTGGGACCCAAAGACCTGTAGTCAGCATGCCATTGCTGGGGTTAGCAGCACTGGGCTCTGGACATACCTTCCTGGTGCCCAGCGGGAGGGCAGGACCTCCGAGGTCCCCTTCTAACTTGCCTTACTCCTCTCTTCCTTCCCCTCTTCCCTTCCATCCTCTCTCTAGGACACTCCAGCCCTTGTTGGCCTGGGATCACTGCCAACCATGTCTCTTAGTCCCTGGACCGTGGATGAGAAGCTATAAACATGGTCCCATCGATCCTCAAAGTTCAAATGACGGGGGAGACCCTGGAACCCCACGCCTCACTCATCCCACAGAACTCCCAGGTTCAAAGAGCTGAACCTAAATGCTGGGCACGGTAGCACATGCCTTTAATCCCAGCACTCAGAAGGCAGAGGCAGGCAGGTGAGTTTTGGAGGCCAGCCTGTCTACATAGCAAGTTCCAGGCCAGCCAGGGCTACACAGTGAGACTCTCTCAAAACAAACCAACAAAAAAGATCTGTTGTATCTAAGATATAATACAAAAAGCATAAGTGAGCTGGTGAGATGGCTCAGCAGGTATATGTGCTTGCTGCCAAGCCTGGTGACCTGAGTTCGAGCCCCAGAACCTACATGGTGGAAGGAGAGAACTGACTCCTGCACACTGTCCTCTGATCTCCACATGCACACCATGGCATGCACATGTGCTCACTCACAAACATACTACATATATACACAACAAATACATGTCAAAAAAAAATTAAATTGAAAACCATGGTGGACAGAACCTGAAGAATGACACCTGAGGTCAACCACTGGCACCCACATGCATAGCCATACTTGCGCATGTGCACCCCCCCAGGCACATACCAAAATTAAAACTGCAGAAAATAATAAGAGAAAATCTGAGAGCTACATGACGGGAAGAAGACTGGTGTGTATCAAAGGCTCAACAGCCTTAATATATAAAGAGCACCCGTAACTCAATAGGTACCAAGGAAACCCTCAATGGGAAGGTGACCGAGGGTGGAGAGGCATAGGTAACTCCAGAGGGAGGTGGAGGGCCGGTGTAGTTGGCATTCTTGTCAGGGCTTCCGTCTGCAGAGCTAATCAAGGCCCTGCTTAAATGCTTCCTCCCCACCTTCTGTGGCTGCTGATAGATTTCAATTAAGATGCTACCGAGCCAGGAGGCGCCAACACCGCTCCAAGCATGTGGGTGGGGAAGTGGGAACAGGGCCTCCACCGGGCTACCCCCACCTTCTCCTTCAATAGCCACGTTGGGATGGACTGAGGAGGGGTCTCTCCCACTCACCCCTGCTTATAGTTCTGCTTTTCAAGTTTTGTTCAGAGTGTGTAGTGCTCAGTCACACGAGCCTGGGCTCCCACACCCAGCACATGCTGGAGCATGTGGATTCACTTTTCTGAGCCTCAGTTTTTCTCATCTGTAGAAGGGGGCCTATTAGAATAGAGCAATCCTCCCAGCTGGCATGAGCAGTCCCTACTGCTGTGTGTAACACTTGGCTGGCCCCATGGTAAGCTCAGACTATGGTCAGTGCCTATCTAGGCACCAAGTTGAGGTGGGTCCTACCCTCCAGGACGCCTGGTCAGCAGACATGGACCTAGCTGACAGGATGGGTCACCAGACTTGTGGGCACCTGTCTTCCCCCACCCTTCACAAGTCCTGCCCACCACATCCCTAGTCCCTGCCCACTACACCCCAGGATGTCACTGACAGTCTCTCTGTACCTGGGCTCTTCTAACACCACCCAGCATGCACACCCAGGCTCTCAGCCCATCAAGTGGTGCCGTCCACTGCACTGGCTCAGGCCGCTCTGGCCCAAGCTGCCTGATTCCCAGGTATCACTCTGTGAGTCAGAGATGCGGAAGCGGGAGTGTGGGGCAGGAGGCACCCACAGGACTCTCTGGCAGTGTGTTCTGTTAATGAAAAATGTAAATGGGCAGCTGGTGGGATGTGGACTCTTTCGGGGTGAAGGAAGTGTTCTGGGTTTAGTGATGTGGTGCCCCTCTCTTTGGATGGTCTAAGACCCACCCAACCATTCCCGGTAAAATGGATGTTATATTGGGTATGAATTGCATCTCAACAAACAAACACAAAGCAAAACCCCTCACCTCAAGCTACAAACCCCCCTGTGTAGGCACACACACAGGACCCCAAATGTGTGGATTTTGAGGATATTATGCTTAAAACAAACTTACTCAGTAAAATTAAAGTCCTGTGCTAAGTAAATAATAACGATTCCATTAACAGAACCTGTTCCCACTGTGGGAGGCCATGTGAGCATGCCAGGGCTGCTGTGACTGAGAGCAGTGGCCAGCCACCCTCTGGGTGGGTACACACTCGGCATCCCCACCATGGCCACTGAGCACTGCTAACCCCAAGGGATGGGCCAGGGTCATTCTTAATCCTTCTGGTTCCCAAGATGGGACCCCACACCCACTGTAGCTTGAGTGCCCGGGACTATCACCAGCTCCCAGGAGGTCCTCACCAGGACAAGGCTTTCAAACTGTGCCCACTGTGACAACTCCTGGTGTGCAGGGGACTATGGGCCCCTCTGTACTCTCTATCTGCCTCTTCTTTCTCTCCCATTCCCCCGCCTCTTTTGTTTGAGACAGGGTCTCCCTGTAGCTCCAGCTGACCTGGAACTCACTATGGAGACCAGGCTGGCATCGATCTCACAGAGATCTACTTGTCTGCCTCCCGAGTGCTGGGATTAAAGGCGCGAGCCACCACACCCAGCTCCCCACATTTCCCCCCATTTAAATAGTATATGTACATGTTTACAGCATGCATGTAGTATGTTACATGTGGGGGTCAGAGGACAATTTGTGGGAGTCAGTTCCCTCAAATCATCAGGTTTGGTGGCAAGCACCTTTACCTGCTGAACCATTTCCCTGGCCCATTGTTTTTTTGTTTGTTTGTTTTTTGAGACAATCTAGATCCTGGCTGGCCTAGAACTCCTATCAGACTAGGCTGGCCTTAAACTTACAGCAACTCTCTTGCCTTAGCCTTTTGAGGGCTGGGATTATAGGCATGTACCACCATGCCCAGTTCATTTTTGTTTTGGGTATTGTTTTTGTTTTGGGCTTGAGCTGTGTATCCCAGGCTGGCTTGGAACTATTAAGTTCAGGCTGGTCTTGAACTGGGGTCCTCCTGACTCCTGAGTACTGGGGTCACAAGAGTATTCACCACTCCCTGTCACATTTACCAGAGCGCGTCCACAGGGCCCACCTGCATGCTGCTCTTCTTTCTGCTTTGTTCCTGGGGCCTCGGTCCCTCAGAAGCCCCTGGTAACTCCCACATTCCTACACATACCTATGGATAGCCTCAAATACCCGAGGCCTAGAACCTGGGATGGAATCCATTCAGGGAAAGGCAGAGACCCAGCAGGGAGTGGAATGCCCCCAAGGAGGCACACCAGGCCAGCTGGTGGTTAGGGATGCTCACCTAGCCAGTGTTCCCCCGTAAGCTTGCCGAAGCCCTCCCGGTACGCCTCCCAGCCTCGAAAGAAGTTCACCGAGCCGTCCTCCCGGCGCTGGAACACCTGCGGGGGAAGGGGTGCGGGGGGCGGGGAGGCATGAGGTATGAGGCAGAGAGTTGACACCAACTGCCCCAGGACCCCCTACATTCGCCCTTTTCCACAGGCTCCCCTCACCCTGCCCACTCAGGACACAGGCCAGGCTTCCCATTTCCCTCAACAGCTCCTGGCGTGGGGTCTGGAGCAGAACAGGGACTCAGGAGCTTGTGGTAGCCAGAGGTAGGACTGACTGAGCCTCCATAGATCCTGAAATGTCCTCAGAGGGAGTCACCACTGCCCCCGGGCCCATTTCTGCAGCTCTCCAGCAGGACGCTGGACTGAGCCCTTTCTGGTTCCCGCTGGTCAAGGACACAGGCAGCTGAGGCTATGGCTGGGTTGGTACAGTGCTCACATACCATACATGAAGCCCTGGGTTCTATCCCCACCACTCGGTAGATGGACGCAGGAGGATCAGAAGTTCAAGGTCATCCTTAGCTACACAACAAGTTCAAGGTCAGCTTGGGCTTCATGAAACCATGTCTCAAACAAAAAGAAAGGGAAGGAGGGAGGGAGGGAAGGAGGGAGGGAGGGAGGGGGGCTAAGGGCTCTTATATCTTTTCCCAGTTCAGAATAAAGGAACCAAACCCATCCATGCAGCTAGTTTTTATTGATGTTGCTTTTGTGGTTTTTTTTTTTTAGACAGGGATTTGCTCTCTACTTGTCTGTCCTGGAACTCGCTGCGGTAGCTCAGGCTTGTAGCAATCTCGTCTCAGCTTCCCAAGTGCTAGAATGACAGGCATGCACCACCACACCCAACCCATCCCGGTCACCTTAGGCTTAACCCCCAGACCCCCACCTCTCACACAGCTCCCAAGTCACAAAAGCCTGGCAGGTTGGAAGGGGTGCCTGGAACCTGCTTCTTAGGGGATGCCCAGGAGCCCACAGCAGGGCTCGGGTGTGACTTGGGTACCAACCAGCCACGAGCCGCCTCTGTTCTTTTTAATAGCATTCTCCATTTGGGAGTCTGGAGTCCCATTGGTTAAATTGCTTTGAAATAAGGACTGTGCTGGCCTGGGCCAGAGCAGCCTGAGTATTTACAAGATCGCTGACGGTCCCACTCTACACCCCCCCCCCGCCCCTGCCGCCTTTCTGTTTAGAGCCTTTTCCTGCTCGTTTGCAGAGGCAGCGCCCCTTGCCGCCCACCTGCCTCCATCTGTGTCCGCGTCTGATGTCAGAGCTGTGGCTTTCATTACTAAGCAGCCCTGTTCCGGCGGCTCGGAACTGCCCGGGTGACTGGGCTGAGCTACAGTGGGTGCTCAGTGAACACTTGTAGATGCTCCCAGTCCCCTGAGAGCATCAGTTACAGGCCATTGGGCAGCTCTGACGTCACAGGGCTGGAGGGAGATGACACCTTTTTTTTTTTTTTTCTTGCTTTACTGCCCGGAACCTGGTCCAGCCCTCAAATTTCCATGTCCTCAGGAGGGACCGGCTGGGAGGAAGGAAATTCGATAAGGCTCAGGGAGATCTGAGCAGTGCGAGAGCGTATTGACTGCCGCACATTGGGACTCTGAGCACGCGCCCTTTGAAAGGCTTAATCCTGGCAGAAGCTTAGGCCCTTCGGAAGGCGAAGGTGGCAGGCAGGCTGAGGCAGCTTCTGCTGGAGGAGGAAGGAGAGCTGCAGGGGTGGCAGCCTGGAAGCCCCTGGGGGTCTGAGCTCCCACTGGAGGTCCTTAGGCCCCCACTCTGGGGACCCGAACCCTGAGCACACCCAGCATGTGTCAGGTGGGGCAGGGGGATCCAGAGGCCGAGGACTTGGGCTCCAGAGCCTGGCTGCTAACTCCTCTCCAAGCCTCAGATTTGCCATCTGTAAAAGACAGAACCTTCACCACACGGGCTGTGATGAACCACCGGGCTCAGGGCCTGGTGCGTAGTAGGTGCTCGGTCAATGTGAGCTGAAGAAACATCAGAATCACAGGACTGGTCACAGCCACCTTTGTTCCCTCTCCTTTGGCCTTTGCTTGGGCCACACCCTGTTCTTCCAAATGCCAGCCCTGCACATCTCTTCTCAGCATTCCTGAGCACCTGCCTGCCACCAGTCCCTTTCGTTCATACGAATGTCCCATCTAGTCTCTCTGGGGAAACTGAGTCAGAGGAACAAGGTTGAGACTTCCCTCAGGGCAGAAACCACATTATGTCCTGGGGAGACAAGACATAAAGTGCTTCCATTGCAGTCACCAGGACATGACTTTGATTTCCAGAAATCACATTTTTAAAAAAGTAGGGGGTAAGCCAGGCGTGGTGGCACACGCCTGTCATCCCAGCACTTGGGAGGCAGAGGCAGGCAGATCTCTGTGAGTTCAAGGCCAGCCTGGTCTACATAGTGAGTTCCAGGCCAGTTGGGGCTACAGGGAGACCCTGTCTCAAAAAGACAAAAAAAGTAGGGGGTAGGGAAGGTGGCTCAGTGGGTAAGAACCCTTGTTCTGCAAGCACAAGGACCTGAATTCAAATCTCCAGCACACCATGTAAAAAGCTGGGCATGGGACTGGAGAGATGCTCAGCAGTTAAAAGCACTGGCTGCTCTTGCAGAGAACCTGGGTTTGGTTCCCAGCACCCACATGACAGCTAACAACCATCCTTAACTCCAATTCCGGGGGATTCAACACCCTCTTCAGGCACTGCATGACATGTGTGCACTAACATACATGCAGGCAATATATTCATAGACATAAAATAAAAATAATAAAATATTTTTTAAAACTGGGTGTGGCTGGATATGCCAGTAACTTTTTAGCATCAGGAGGATGGAGATAGGTGGATCCCAGGAGCTCACTGGCTGGTCAGCCTGGTCAAACCAGTGAACTTTGGTTTAAGTGAGTGAACGTGTCTCAAAGCAGTAAGGGGGAAGCTATAAAGGAAGACATCTGGTATCTTCCCCTAGCCTTGGCATTCAAGGGTACAGGCACATGCACCCACACACTCATAAGCATGCAACATGTGCATACACGCACACACGCACACACACACAGAGCCAAATGTGGTGATGTGCACTGTAATTCCAGCACTGGGGAGGTGGTTACAGGTGGATCCTTGGGTCTTGCTGGTCAACCAATCTAGTCTACTTGGCAAGTTCTAAGCCAGTAAAAGACTGTCTCCAAAAGAGAAAAAGGTGTACAAGCCAGGTGTGGTGGTACGCACCTTTAATCCCAGCACTCAGGAGGCAGAGGCAGCCAGATCTCTGTGAGTTCACGGTTAGTCTGGTCTACATTGCCAGTTCCCAGTGAACCAGGGCTACATAGTAAGCTCTGTCTCAAAAGAAAAACAAAATGATGGGGCTAGAGAGATGGCTTAGGGGTTAAGGGCACTGGCCGCTCTTGCAGAGGACCCAGGTTCAGTTCCTATTGCCCACATGGTGGCTAACAACCCTCTGCAACTCTTATTTCAGGGGATCCCACACCCTCTTCTGGCCTCTGTGGGAACTGCACAACACGGGTGCACTTTATGCAAGTAGAACAGTTAAACACATTAAAAAAAAAAAAAAAAAAAAAAAAAAAGCACACAGTCCCTGAGGGACAACATCCTGGCCTCTACACGCAGGCGCACAAACCAACCACAGCCTTTGACAACGTGAGCACTGCAGTTGGAGCTGAGGTGCAGATTCCTGTCCCTTGAGGGGCCACAGCACACCCCTGACATGGCTTTGGAGACAGAACTTTCACATCTCTGGACCACACACACAGACACAGGGAGACTCGCAGTCAGAAATGAAGGCTGTCTGGAATGAGCAGACTGCGAGCATTTCCTGCTGCGTCCTCTTCCGCTCCACTCTATTCACTTTTAAAAAACAACGTTGATCGCAACCCAGGAAATTGATTTTGCCACCTGTCAGTGGATCCGGGCCCACAGTTTCAGAACTGTTGTCAAGTTCCTGGGCTCTGCCAAGGATCATTCTAGTCACAGGTCGAATACCTAGCTACCAAGTGTGCTGGTGCCCTGTGCTCAGCCGGGCACTCAGGGTAGCACGTGACCTAACAAGTTCTAAAAGCCACACATGGCTCCAGGTCACTAGATGGGCAATTCCAAGGTAGCCAGCCCGTGGGTCACTTCGTTTGACTCTGAGGCCCAGGGTAAAATGCAGCTGTGCCTTCAGAGTTCCAGAAATCAGCTGAAGACCAAAGACGATGACACGACGTAGGCAACAATTAAAGCGCAAGGATCAGCTGGATGGGAGGATGCCAGCTATACGCCTGGAGTGGCCATGACCCCTCCTTCAGCCTCAGGCTTCCAGAATAGGCAAAGGCTGGGGAAGCCGAGGCCAGAAGGAAGTAGTTATTGATCAACTCTGGACCTGCAGTGGGCGCTGGCCCAGCTCCTGGGCTCCTCTCAGCTTCCGGTTGGAAGACAACCTATGGAGAAACATTCGCCAACGCCAGGGCCTCCTGGGCCCGTGCCACAAGTGGGAAGGCAAACAGTGCATGTTTTCTTGATGCAGATTCTTAAAACCCGGCCACCTGCTGCCACTGGCTGAGGAGTGCCACCCAGGGGGCTCTGCCAAGAAAACGCACACGGTCTTGCAGATGGTGTTGGGTGATTTCAAAAGAGAAGCTGAGACCACCCTTGAGGCAGCTGACTGTCCCTTGAGTGTCAGCCTGAGGGCCACAGTGACACCCTGAAGCCTTCCCGGCCTCCCTTTCCACCCCAAGTCCAGTCCTAGTAGAGCCTCCCTCTGCCCCCAACAACTCTGCCTGGTGTGCTCCATACCTGAGGTGGTGTTGAGGGCACAGAGTTGGCATCCTAAGCACCTGATGGGCTCTGAGGTCACCACAGTACCACCAGCACCTCAGAGGGCAGCAGTCCTCACCGAAGTCCTGCAAGTCTCCCATCTGGCAGTCTTCAAGACTATGGCTAGGAGTGTGGGTGACCCCTGGAGCCTGAAGTGGCCCGAGAAGGGAGGTGATGGCACACATGCCTCTCCCGTGGAGGTGCCCTGTGATCTGGCCAGAGAGATATTATTACACCTGCACACTGTG